CTATGATTGTGGTTATGAACCAGCAGAGCCTGGCTAGTAACTGCAGTTTAAAATTTTGCCATCTGATGGATAGGTGATAAGTGGTACCTTGTGGCTCTGATTTCCATCTCATTGACCGTTTCAATCTTATTTATTTTCACATGTGCTTATAGAAATGCAGAGGAACATACTAGTTCAAGTATAGATTTTCAGTCTTCATCTGTTGTATGACACGGGCAAGTTACTCTATCTCCTTGAGCCCGTTTATTTAGGTATAAAACAGGGATAATGTTACTTATCTTGTAAGGTAAACTTGGAGAGTTAAATGAAATAGTTATGAAGTGCCTGAAACTAGGCCTAGCACAGAGCAAGCCATAAATGATGTGATTACAGGTATGTACCACATATTTCCATCAATAAAGACCACATACCATGGTGTTCATGAGCTTAGTGATGTCACAGATGTCTTAGTTATATAAATATACTTACTCTCTGATGTCTATATAACAAAACCGATTTAATGCATTTTGCAGAAGGTACACCTGTCACTAAATGATGCATGTCTGTCATCACTGAATTTGGAGAAATTCTTTGTATAAAGGCTATTTTTTTTCTGTTACTTTTGTTAGAAATAGAACCACTTCCTCAGTCTATTATTACATAGACAAATAGATGTATAATTCCCTTACAGCTTCTATGTTCAATTTTAGAAAGATTTCCAAGGTCATAACAGCTACCTACCTAGTCTTCCAATAGCTCATGTTATCACTTAAAGCTGCAGTTCTATTGGTACTTGCTTTGAAAATGTTGTTAAGCAGGGATCTGAAGGATGTCTGAGCATGTGACTACCACAACTCCCTAAATTGTTACACAAATCAGACTTAGAGGAAGATGTCATGGTAAGAGGTATAAAAGAAAATAAATTATATTCTGTTGTTCAGAACAATCAGTAGGCTTCAACTTATTATTTTTTTTGTTGATCATGGGGCTTGAACTCAGGGCCTAGTTACTGAACATGAACTCTTCTTCTCAAGGCCAGCGCTCTACTACTTGAGCCCCAGCTCCACTTCTAGCCTTTTGGTGGTGAATTGTAGATAAGAGTCTCAAAGCCAGGATTGTGGTTAGTGGTACAGTGCTTGCCTAGCATGCATGAAGCCCTGGGTTAGATTCCTCAGTACATTAAAAAAAAAAAAAAAAGTCTCATGGACTTTCCTGCCCTGACTAATCTCAGCCTCCTGAGTACCTAGGATTACAGGCATGAGCCACCACCATCCTATTTTTTTTTTAAATAGGACTGTCCCCTATTTTTTTTCTAAAAAAAGATTGGAATTCTTCTTTCAAATAAAATATTACAGGAAATTCCAACATACAAAATGGAGTCACTCCCATTTGAAGTGGTGAAAGATGAGACTTGGAAAGTTAAGATAACAATGACCCTTGCAACCAGAATATACTTAAGATTTTATTATGAAACCAAGGATCTATGGGAAGGTTCTAAGCAGAGAAGTGACACAATCAGATTTGTGTATCAAAGACAACTCTCCCTGCTCCAGAGAGCACAGACTGTACAAGGACATTAGCCCAGGGAGACCATTAAAAGACAATGCATAGTCCTAGCAACAAATATTCCCTTAGATGGACTGATTGAAAGGATCCATCACATCCATGCCAGGGGACCATGCAGAGGCAGGCAGGCACAGGAGAATTATTACAAGGTTTATTAGAGGAGCCATATTTGCCTGAGAGAGAGAGAGAGAGAGAGAGAGAGAGAGAGAGAGAGAGAGCACAAGCACATGGCAGCCTCCACTGTCTAGGTAGCAGCAGGGTCTGGGGGGTAGGAAGTGAGGTAGATGGGAGTTCAAGTGGGTCCAGATGGAGAGCGGAAGTAGCCAGCAGGTCTGTGTGGAGCTGAGGACCAAAGGTGGGCATAATGCTTACAGTGATAGAAGCAAAGATGTTTTTCAAGTATATAGAACACCAAAAGAACTTAGTACCTAATAGTGATGTATGAGGTAAGAGAAAAAAGCATGAAAATTGCTGTATTCTGGTCTGAGAAACAGCATCGATCGTGGAACCTTCTACCAAGAAAGGAAATCAATACCTGAAAGGGAGTAAATTTTGAGCAAACATGAATTAGGTGTTTGAGTATGAGAAATGGGATGAAGAGTATTTTATTTTTGTTAGCAGACCAGGAGTGTAGCTACAGTTTATCTTCACATATATGATTAGACACACATACATACATTTTAATTATATGTAACATATATAAAATTTGTCAAGGATTTTTGACACCAAACTTTCATTCCTGAGATGTTTTCAAGGTTGAGGTTCTCCAGGTTTTCTGAGTGCACCCAAATACCAACACTATTTTCTGATTCTCAGAAGAGATTTTAGTAATGCTCCAAATTAGACTAACATAATTTAGCGATTTGCAACATTAATCTCCAAGTACTAGTTTGGACTCAAGCACATAGGAATTCACACAACCTAGACAAAAAGGCCCTGGGTCTTATTTTCTGCTTTCTTTTTTTTTTTTTTTTTTTGGGTCCAGTTGTGGGGCCTGAACCCTGGGCCTGGGCACTGTCCCTCAGCTCTTCAGCTCAAGGCTAGTGCTCTACCACTTGAGCCACAGCGCCACTTCCGGCTTTTTTCATTTTTGCTTATGTGGTGCTGAGGAATTGAACCCAGGGCCTCAGGCATGCAAGGCAAGCACTCTACCACGGAGCCACCTTCCCAGCCCTTATTTTCTGCTTTAAGTTTTTAGGTTTGAGCTGGTTCTTCTTGTTTGAATTATCCAATGGGATCCAAGTGACCAACCCTGCTCTATGTTTGGCACTTGAATCTGCATGAAGAAGGGAGGGGAGACTGTTAGCTGTTTCATCACAATAGACTGTGGCCACTACCGGGCACAGAGCAAGTTACTGATCCTTTTGATTCCATCACTGGGTAACAATCAATTCCAGATCCTCTTTTGTTTCCTGAAGCTGTGAAGACTATTTTTTAACTCTCTGCTATCAACTTGTGGAATTGATCTGGTTTCAAGCAATAGAAACCCATTGTGGTTGACAAAGACTTGTAAGAACATCCAGTGGACTACAGTTAAGGGGGAAAAACTAGATAATCAGGTCCCAGAACAGAGACACAGCTATCAGAATTAACTTGTGTCACTTCTATCACCCTGCTAAAATTCGTTTTTTATGTAGTACTGAGGAATTGAACCCAGGGCCTCATGCATGCTAGGCAAGCACTCTACCACTAAGCCACATTTCCAGCTTCTCTAAGTTTCAAAGTCCTGGTAAGTGTGGGATTTTAATAGGACAAGCCTGAATTGCTCAAACCTTAGCCAGAATACCCTAACCTATATATCCACCAAAACCACACAGAACAGTAAGGAGTAGCTTTCAAAGGTGGACTGGGGAAAGGGAAATGATCTGAGCAGGCCAAAGCAACTAATGTCCATCACACCATTTAAGTGTTGGGAAGACACTGAATTGCAGCAATAGCCAAGAACTTGGGATGAAAATGGCTTTGTCACAACCCTTAGGGAAGATGCTAGTGGGGGTTGCCTTATGTGCTGCAAGTTGGAGCAGGGCAAGATGCACATGCAATAGGTTTAGAAAAGTTTATTGATTTTCAGTGTAAGGACATCATAGTAACTACAGTATTAAAAACAAAAGTGACTTCTTTCTCAATGCCTAATGTGGCTACTTGAGAACTGAAATAATCTTCTATAAACACTGAAATCATAAGGCTTTGTAACCTGAATACTAGCATTTGAAAGACATGCTTAAAAAATTCAGGAACAGTTTCTGAGCTGAGTTCTTCAAAGTGTTGCAATGTCACCTAGAATTATAGATGAATATCTTAATAGTCATTAGCATGAAAATAGGTTTAAAAAAAGATTGGTACTGGGCTGGGAAGGTGGCTCGGTGGTAGAGTGCTTGCCTTGCATGCTTGAGACTCTGGGTTCGATTCCTCAGCACCACATAAGCAAAAAGAAAAAAGCCGGAAGTGATGCTGTGGCTCAAGTGGTAGAGCGCTAGTCTTGAGCTGAAGAGCTGAGGGACAGTGCCCAGGCCCAGAGTTCAGGCCCACTACTGGACCCCAAAAAAAAAAATTGGTACTGGTACTGGGTTTGCACTTGCTAAGTAAATATTCTACCACTTGAGCCACACTTCTATCCCTTTTAAATAAAAAAAATTTCTTTTGGTGGTACAGGGTCTGAGCTCTGGGCATTTGATAGTCAGGTGCTTTACCACATAGCCACACCCCAAGCCTTGAAGGAGGGTGTTTTTGATCATTTGATCAAAACGGGCTCAGGGTTAATAAGCAACTTGCCAAGGTCACAGAGTAAACATTACATACCACACACACACATACATGCTTTAAAATTGTGTGTGTGTGTTGGTGCTGAGGCTTGAAATCAGGGCCTGGATGCTGCCCGAGCTTCTTTTGCTCAAGGCTGGTGTTCTACCACTTGAGCCACAGCACCACTTCTGAGTAGTGCTCTTTCTGAGTAGTTTATTGTAGATGAGTCTCACAGACTCTTTTGCCCTGGCTTGCTTTGAACCGTGATCCTCAGTAAGTAGGATTGTAGGTGTGAGACAATAGTGCCTGGCAAATTCTTTTTAAATAAAGTTTAAAAGTGTTCTGTATGGCATCTTTTCAAATACAGAAGTGTATAAAGTTGACATACATATAATCTACTGGTCAAAGCCACTGACTTTCTATGCATTTACAAACATGCATGCACATTATTTGGAGTTCATACTATATACTTTTCTATCAATATTGTGTTTCACTTAATTTATCATGGCAATGTAGATTTCCTTATGTCTGAACTGTTATCTTTCTCAACCAGTCCTTCACTGAATTTTCTACCATGTAATTTTTATGCTTCTTGTTTTCTTTAGAAATACATTTGTGTGACCATTACCCCGATTTTAGTATTTAGACCTATTTTTGAAGTTGGTAAATACCAGTTAAGACTCAGTTCCAAGTAACAGAAACCCAACTCAAAGTAGCTTAAGCAAAAAAGGGTATTTATTGGTTCACATAACTGAAAAGTCCAGGGGATATACTAGCTTCAGGCACAGCTGGATCCAGCGGTATACACATTGTCACCAGGACTCAAGTCTCTTCATCTTTTGGCTCTGTTTCCCTCTGCACTGGCTTTGTTTTCTGACTGGCTCATTCAACATACTGACAAACTGGTTTGAGTTTTTTCATCCAACAAAGCTAAAACATCCTCAGTAAAGAGAGTTTCTCTCCCATAGTTCAGTAAACTTCCTAGGGCTGAGTATCACTGGACAAACTTGAGTCAAAATGGGAAGAAACAGTTCTGAGAAACATCAAGGAGTTGTCACGACGAGATGGAATGGATGCTGGGCAAAAAAAAAAAAGAATGTCCATGATAAGCCCAGATACTGAAGCCCAATTTCTGACTGTTCAGTGATAACAGCTAGCATTATTTCCTTAGTAGTGGAATCTTTCTAAAACAATTTTGAGGGATGTTTTGTTCTGACCTCAGGAAGCCTAGCTAAAGTCCACTGGGAAGGAATACTCATGTTGAAGAGCGTACTTGGGGATCACACCACAGTCTCTCAGCACAAGCAAACAACTGAGTGTGAGAGTTTCTGCCTGGGTGTTATAAAACGGGACAGCTAGCCTCACACTAGCAAATAGTTCTGTGAGGCTGTGTCAGTTGTAAATGGAGTTCAGTGGAAACGTTCTTGTTTTCCTGTTAGTCTTCTGCCAAGTTGAACTGGTACAATTTTTGTGAATCCAGATGAATCAATCACTTTTCAATTACTGCAGAAGAAATGGGACTCTGCTTTCAATCCATTGTACTCCTTCCCAATTTGGTAGCTGTCCCAGGTGCTGAAAATGATTAAGCATAAGACTTACTTTCTACTTAACAGCAATGTCCTTATTGTTGTGAATATTAAGTTCTGGCCGGGTGAGGTGTAGGTTGCTTCTTGTTCAGAAATCCTTGGTGGAATTGGGCACAAGATAGGCTGAAATCAGTTGTTGTCTTCTCAAGGCCAGTTGGATTGCAGCAACATGTTAAAAAAAGGCAGGTTAAGAGCTGATTCAGGTTAATAGACAAGCAGGACAATTTCAGCAGGGTAGGACCAGCCATACCAATAACCAAGATATAATCTGACAATAGGTAGATTAATAATAATGAAGCCCTATAAATTAATGTTCATCTTGGGTACTCCAGAGTAAACAAACAGGACTTACTCTGGATATAATTTTCTGATTGTGAAGGGCTAGTGACAGCAGCTTGTATTTTCCTGCGTATGTGCCCAAGAACTGTCAGCTCAAGAAGGCGGCCATGTTCTCAATCCAGACTAGAGGTTCTGTTTAGGAGTTTATGCTACATCTGGGAGCAACAGGGTCGGTAGGGCCAGGTTTGTCAAAATTGGCTCTACTTTCTTTGGTAATCAAGTCTTCATCTTCTGTAACTAAGCCTATCTCCAAGAACCATTTTACAAGCAAGTCAAGGCCTCAGACTGGTTGGATGGCACGGTTGAGAGCTTTAGAAGAGATCTGAGGCATGGAGACAGTAGGCAAGCCCCTAGGTCTTTTGCCTTAAGGTTTTAGGCTTTTTTGTTTATTCAGTCACCAATTCTTATGTACAGCTTACATTAGACTGAGATGATCTTCCTCTTAAGTTCCTCATTTTGACCACTGAATATGGTGGGATCAGAGGGAATGACTGGCAGTGTAGAACATTATCTTTCTGTAAGAACAGGAAGAAGCAGAGGGGGAAAAACAGCTGACAATTTTGAGACAGTAGAAGAGTAAGCTGGTTGCTGATTTCTTCTTTATTAGCAATAGTTGTATATATATAAACAGAAAAGTCATCCAGATTCTATTCTGCTGAGGGACAGCAGTCTTGAGGAACCAGCCCTAAGCCTTATTTGATCATCTGTAGAGTAAATCATGCAAAAAGACAAAGAGATAAAGAAACCATTTCCATTAACCAGTGCATTCATTAGATTAGGTGAAGATAGCTGGTCCTTAAATTGACTGTAAAGGAATGAGATTTTCTCAAGACACAAACAGAAGTCTCCTTTTTCACGATGATCTGGGAGTTCAGGAAGTGAATCCTTTCTACAGAAATAAGTTGTCTTAGTGCCTAAGAGTATTTCATAGTCAAAAATGAAAGTCAGGCTCTCTAGAAATCAGTGTAGATCAACAGTATTGAGAAAGATGTGCTTCCAACAAAAGATCCACAAGGACAGAAGCTCTTGAGACTGATAAAATCCTTAGCTGCCATCTTTGTAGATTTTTTTCCCCCAAGTCAATCTGCATTTCCAGCAAAAAGGTAGACAACATATTGTTTGAGGTGCCAAGCAAGTATGCAGTCATGGCCAACTATCACTGTCACATATAGCTGATGGTACCAGTTTCTTTTTTTAAAAGGCTATAGTTTAAATCAGATTTATAAGAAAGGTTGTTATCTTCAGGATTCAGTATTATGTATAGAGATGAGGAGTCATAATTCTGAAGAATAGGCAGACATGACAGGAACTGTTTTGTTTTTAAAGGCTATTAGCTCATTTATCCTGGAAACAGTAAACTGAAACCAAGAAGCAGTGTCCTTAACTATGACTGAACCATATATGGATTTGTACTTTAAGATGAATAACCACCAGGTACTGAGCTTCTTTAGGGAATGTTGGCCAGGATTTGAATTCTGCTTTCATAATTAACAGTTAGCCTTTGGAGTACCATGGCCAATGATGAGAGGTCAAATGTTTAAGTTGTTCTAAGATGGTCTCAATGTGGCATCAGCTTCAATACCAGCTTGTAGGCAATTTGTATATCCGAGGAGGATTCGAGACTTCAAAGTCATGTATTCAAGTACCACTAGTACATTTGGAGTCTGTGCAAATTGTTTAGTGGGTTTGTCAGTGTAGGGTACTTATGGATTTCTTTCTGGATATATCCAATTCCAGGAGTCACTCTAAGTCCATCTGGGGTAGAGTGCTAGTAGTGAAGGTTGCTTGACGCCACTTTCAGCCCATATGCCCATTCTCTGGGGTAAGGGTATGCCCATCTTCTTATACTTTTCTAAGTTCACACACAGTTAAGTATTTCTAAAAATGTTCTGTATCAACTTAATACAAACTATACTGAATAGAGGTACATAAAAGATCAGAATGCCATTCCGGTCAAATATGTTGTCTAGGGCAGTGGCTTTCCAACTGTGTCCTGAAGAATCCTAGAAGTTGTAAAGAAGTCCCTGTAGGTGTCACCAGGGTGGTGATGGCTGTGGCAGACCCCACTCCTGCTTCACCACGTCATCCAGAGAAGCTTCACTGTTACTCTGGGCTTCCACATAGTGTTCAAAGGGCTTCATGGCCACAAAGCTTTTGGAAAACCAATGATCTAAGAATAAGTTGTTCACAAAATGCTGAAATACAAAAAATAGGTCACACAAACCAGAAAGAGGGTAAGCAAAGCCTGTAAGACAGGGGATTTCCTATTTTTCCCTGATGTAGATAACGATATAGACTGAAATTAAAATTTCAAGTCTGCTTTATATAAATTTTTTGATTGCCTGCAGTTGGACTTAAATGCCTAATACAACAAAACTATTGGCTTTAAATTTCTATAGCAATGGATCTTTAAAAATAGGTACAAAATTCACTTGTTTCTTTGGAAATACTACTTCAAGAAGTCCATGGCTGGACAACTTCTCTTAAGCAATAATGAGTTACAACTCTAAAATTCTAGACATACCTTCTCACCTCTCCCCCTTATCTCCCCTTTCCAACCTCCTCACTCACCTGAGACGCAATACCCTTAAAGTTTACATCTTAATCCTAGGGAGTATATTGCTAAATGTCATGGAACTCACCTAATCTGGAGACAGAATTTCCCACCCCATCCCCAGTTCCAAAAGCAAAGCAGTTAATGACAAGTTATGAGAAGAGGGGGTTTCAAAGACATTGTATTTATTATGAGGTCTCCAGGTCAACCTGTTGTTAATCAGGAAGTATTGGGTATGCTGCTCTAAAGCAGTTTCCCCTTCTATGAAAAGGAATGCTCAAAATAAAAAAAATTAGCAATCTGTATTTGAAACAGGAGGTAATGGGCTAAACAACTAAATGCAACTTTTTGGTGCAAGCCCTCTGAGATCCTTTAAAATATCACACTGTACTTGAGGTTTGGGAAAGGGACATATATTACAGTATGTTAGCCACCTTATTGGCTAACAGAAATTCTCTACTTATGGTACATACACAGATATTTAAAAAAAATGGATGGCTCATTTTCTATAAATGGGGGCAGAATATTATAACCTCTTGGTGTCCAGGAGCACTAATAAAACTTAAAGTTTTATAAACAGGGATCTCTAATAGGCCATCCTTGAGAAAAATAATGAAAATGGGAAAAGGATCTAAAAGTGGTTCTGTTTCACATAGTCTTATTTGGTGAACATGTGCTGATTTGACTGCACAATCTAACACCATGGGAACAGTCTGCTTCTATAGGCTGCCATGCAAACTTAATCTAAATCACATGATTACATTTATAACACCCTACACAGATTAGGAAGTTGCAAAATTCTACCAGTTCCCAATCCCTCATTTTAACACTGTAAGGAGACAGCTTACTTAATGTCAAGGGCAACACTGGACTAGGAGTCAGAAGGCCTTGTCTCTACCATGTTGGAACCTTGTACAATTGTGTAATATCTTAAATTTCTATTCCCTCATTTAAAAAAGGGTTAGGCTACCGTGATTATAGAAATAAAATGTAAAAGTGCTCTGAAACTGTAAAGTGCTAAATAAACAAGAGGGGATTACCATATAGGGTCTATCTTGATGTATCAAGTAGCCTTTTCTGACTGGAGCCTTGTGAAATGCTGTTAGGTTAAGGGATTCCTTGGTAGAATTTCTTATATTTGTATGAAACGTTCTGGTTCCTGAGTAATCCCAAAGATGATGCTAGGAGTTCACTGTGTCTTTGTTTTGATCCCAATGAATCAGAATATCTGCTTTATCATTCAGTAGGCTACTACAGAAGTGACGTAGAAAAAGATCAGGATCCAGTCTTGATGTGTTCCTAATTAATTCATGAACTTCATATTTGAGATTGTGGGGTATGGTCCAATGTTCTCAAAGAGAGGTTGCCTTTCTTCAGAATATACTGATAATGAAAAGTCCCCTGGTCCATACTACGTGTCTCTGCAGGCTTCAACTGAAGAAATGAAACATATATTTAGGGGAACAAACTAGGCCTTTGTTGTGATAAAATAGCTTTAGCTATTTGGCTTGAGAACTCTTGCATTATAAAGGGCTGTGCTGAATCTGGGTAGTAAGGACAGGAGTGGAGGTAAAGGCCACATCATGATGGCTGAATGCCTTTTGGGTCACAGTGGTCCACTGGAATGGTGTCTTCTTCAGTAGTAAGGTGGTAGGAATCATCCTGGGCAAAAATCCAGACACCAGGTCTACAGGCTGATGGAATAGCAGAAGGCAGGTCATCAGAAGGTCCAAGTGCACATTCAGCAATCAGGAGGTACAGGACTAGAAGAGGAAGGGGAAAAAACAGGGACAAAAATGCATGGAATTACAAACACAAGATTTTGATAATGAAGTAGGTTTGCTGTCAGTATATCAGCTGCTTGACATATACTAATAATGCTTGAGAAGCCTGGCTTAGAGATTGATGGGTGATAACTGTGTTAAGCAAAAAACAAAAACCTGACTAATAATCACTGATAATATAGTTTCCTGGCAAAGACAATCTCCTGACTCCTGAGAGCGAACTGTATAAGGGATACACCCACAAGAACACCCTATCATATTCTGTGATAATAATTTGAGTCTATTCAGGCTGCCAGTTTTGGGGAATTAAGTTTTTTTTTTTTTTGTGCCACTGGTGGCAGAAGTGAGACTTTTTACCAGTAAGAAATGAAAGGAAACACTGCCTTCTTTTCTTTATGGTTTCAAATTATATTATGACCTTGACTTTTAAAAAGCTGTTTTACTTTAACAAGATTCTGTATAAAGTAAGAGTAAGGGCTCGGTCCTTGCACCTTCTGTATTTAATACCCCACCAACTTAATCAGTTCTTCATGTCTGAAGGAGCTCCCTAGATTTAACTTACTGATATTGGAGACAGGTTTTCACTGTATAGCCTAAGCTGGCCTTGACCCTGATGGCCTCCTGCCTCAGCTTTCTGAATGGTGAAGTTAAATGTTTGAGTCACCACACCTGGCTCTACATCTTTTTAAATTTAGAATTACCATGACATGAATTGCTCTGCTCCACCATGATGACTAAACTTTCTGAAATCATCCACTGGGCTGCAATTCTCATTGATGATGCAAATAAGATGTATATATCCCACACTTCACCAGAGACTACTCTGTGAAACACTTGATAATTAAGGAACCATTTGTCAGGGACCCATATACCTTCCCTTAAAAAAAAAACTCCCATAAGGCCAAGGATGAGATGGTTTTGGGAAGGCAAGAACTCTTAATCTTCCAACATTTGAGCTTGCTAATAAAGCCCTTTTCTTTGTTCACCAAATAAAATGGTAAAACATGAAAATATAAGAAATATTACCCATAGTTGTGACTGCTTTTAATCAAGAGTAATTTTAGTTATTTATTATGCAGTTGATTACACACACTATGTACTGACTCTGAGGTGCAAGTGCCCTGCTCTCTAAACTCCTAACAGATTGCTTTATCAGAAATGATGGAATATGTGGACAAAGGTGCATAAAACTAAGGTTCTTCCTTTCCAAGAATTTGCCGTCTACAAAGAGAACAGGAGCATGCAAATAACTATTTTGAAAGGTTTTTGTGGACTGGGAATGTGGCTTAAACTACCTGCCTAGCATGCATGAAACCCTGGGTTCGATTCCTCAGTACTAAACAGAAAAAGCAGGAAGTGGAGCTGTAGCTCAAGTGATAGAGTGCTACCCTTGAGCAAAAGCAGCTCATGGACAGTGCCCAGGCCCTGAGTTCAAAGCCTAGGATTGGGAAAAAAAAATCCACAAAACAAGATTTTGCATATAAAGATAGACAAAAAATTATAAAGTTTTAACCAAAGTTCTATTCTGGCTAAAGGGATTCATGGGGAGGACAGCATATAGGTTGAATACTGAGGAAAATGGCAGAGCTGTGAGAAGTGGTGAACCAGAAAAAGGCATTTCCAGAGAAGAGAAGAGAAGAGAAGAGAAGAGAAGAGAAGAGAAGAGAAGAGAAGAGAAGAGAAGAGAAGCGAGAACATAAATGCAGAAACAGCAAATAAGGGATTTTGGAAAATGGCCAGTACCGTAATTCACTTTGGATGGTGTGGTCAGTTTGCATGAGTCTGGACAGAAATTCAGGTCTTCTAATTTCCAGTAACAGCGCTGGTGTCAGTGCATACTCAGTTGTTCTTTCTTTCCTCACAGCAAGGTCCACATTTCCAAAATTCAAAAGTAAAAAATATCTACCTCCAGAGTTCCTGCCCCAACTTGACAAACTCTTCTGGGTTATAGGTCCAGTTCTTGAGAATCTGGAGTCCATGGCTGTTGATAAACTGAAAGATGTCTACTCCAACAACTGCAGAACACCGTAGCAAAATCTCTTCAAGTTGCAATCTGGCACGTCTCCTGTCTTGTCACAGACCTTCAAGCTTTGGAGTTCCCGTTGTTATTTCCCCCTCCTTTCTTCAGAGGAAGGTCGCTCATCACCACAGTCTTAATATTCTTTTTGAGGTACATCCAGATTACAAAAGAGCTAAAGGGCAATACATGTTTCTCCAAAACAGTCATTTCTCTGGAAGTGAAATCATATCTTTGCCTGATTCTTTTCAGACATTTGAATGAAACAGAATTAGCAAACATCTAATCAGATAAAATACACTCAAATGTGTTTAAGAAACGTTCACTTGCTTAGAGCTGTACCACTTGGTAAGCACCACTCCACAAAATGAAAATGTTTGAAATCCAACTGTTCAAACATTTTTAGTGTTTGCTGGAAAATGACCTGGACTTTTGATTAAAAAAAAGAGCAGCTGACAAGTAACAAAGAAACAAAACATAGCATTTTGCCATCTCAGTACCACACTGGCAAGCAATTAGAATACAAGGCAGGCCAGAAACAAACTGTGAATCACTTCCAAATCTACTAATATTGAAGTTCAGCAGTTCTAACAAAACTTTTCAGAACAAGTTAACTTCCAATTAGCAAAGGGAAAAAGCTCCCGAAATATCTTTCAAGTTTTCCATTCCTGGTTCAGTCAGTTCCAGTGAGCCCCCTCGCTTAAAATCCACGTGCACCATTAATTAGCTGGGCTTGACAGCACCACTTTAATAAGCCTGTTCACTACCAACCACACAAACTAGGGATACAAAATAGGAGCAAGCGACAGATGGCAACCACGGTTAATGGGAAACAGTCAATGAAAAAGACAGGACGGTAGTCAGGCACCAGTATAAGCAGCAGCAAACAAACGATTTCTAGGCCAAAGATTAAATACGCTTCTTCATACTGCAGAACACACCCACTTTGAATCGTAGCTGCTTTATATTGGGTGCCATTGTACCATACGCATCAGACAACCTTCAGGCACCCCTTGGTGACAGGACTCAGAAGCCAAGCAGAGTTGGGGCAAATGTTACCCCATATTCATTGTGCACAGAAACAGCTCACATATCCCAGGGACTCAAACGGGGGTGGTGGGGGAGGGAAGGAGGTGTTTCAAATTGGTTGTGAAGGGTCCCAAATGACATCTAGGCCTCAGTTTCCTCACTGCGGCATAGAGGAAGTGTTAACTCTTCTGGGTCACAGCCCCCTTTGAAAACTTGCTAGCGATGGATCATCATTCCCTCAGAATACACGGTCCCATACATTGGTGCATATAAACGCACGGAGTCTCAAGCTCTCCAAGGTTTCCCAGGTATCAAGTTCAGGGAATGGGCAATTGCTAAGTTTTCTTAACAACTCAAGCATTAAAAACTCGCACACACATACACGTTACAAACAATAATCATCCTTGACACATAATACCGACGCTTTATAGTTTAAAAAGCGCTTTCAATCCCACACACACTGATAGGCAGAGGAGGAAACTGAGGCGCAGACAAATTACTGAGCGACTTGCCTAAAGTCACTCGGCCAGCTGATGGCTGGGCCCGGAAGCAAACCCAGCTCTTCCGACTCCGGAGCTCGAATCCCCACCCCGGAGCTGCCGCCAGAGCTCCCGCCTCTCACTAAGGGGGCATAAGGAGAAAAAGGCAAAGTAGAAAGCCCACCACCAACCATCCTCCAGCTCCCTCCTGTCCCCCCAACTGGGTCCTTGCAGGCCCCGAAGGGTGACGCCAGGCCTCCAGGCCCGAGCCGGCCACCCCCGCCTCCCCAGTCGCGCCAAATCCCGCCGCTGCCGCTGCCGCCGCCTCCCCGGGAGCGGGGCGGAGCAACTGCCCGCCGCCGCCGACCACCCGGACGACTCCTCGTCGAATCGCAAAAGCATAGGCCGCCGCCCGAGTTCTGCGAACGAGAAGAAAGACGCGGCGCGAGCGCCAACGGCCACCGGGCGCACGCCGCGGCGGCCGGGCCTGCGCCCCAAGAGCTGGATGCCAGAGCAGGAGAAAGAGCCGCCAACCGATCGCTCGATCGACCGCGCGCCCACTCCTTCGCCCTACCAGACCGGGGAGGGGGGGAGGGCGCGCCAGGGCTTCTTCGAGTTAGGGGCCTGACTCCCCGGCGACGAGACAAGATGGCTCCTCCGGTCCGCGCTGCAGCTACCGTCCCGGCTGCGTCGCTCGGCCCGCCCCCGGTACTGTTTCTTTAAATGGCGGAGAGGGGTCAGGAAAGCAGGAAGAGAGGCGCGCGCTGTCACGTGACAGGGGCGGGTTTGGCCCACCAAGATCCGGTCACGTGGGCTCACTCGGCCCGCCAATTAGGAGGCGGGGTAACGGGGCGGAGGCGGGAGGAGTTTCGGGCTTTGTGATTGGCTGAATGCGCCGCGGAGGCCTCGGGGGTTTGGGGCGTCGGAGTGAGTGAGGTGGCCGGAGCTGTGTGCACTTAGCGGAGACAAAGCAGTGACTGAGGTGGTGGTAACGGCGGCATCCGAGGAGGAGGAGGAGGAGGACGTGGGGGGGGGGAGGAAAAAAAGCAAAATTTCGAGGTGCTGAGTCCTTCCAATTCATCTAAACGCAGCGCTCGAACGGCGGCTGCGGAGGCGCTGGCGGCGGCGGCGGCGGAGGCGGCGGCAGCACATGGTTCCAAGAGCGCGCTGCGGTTGTTGAGTTCAGTTCTGCGGGGAGGGACAAAGGCAGCTGCGAGCGCCGCGGGAGACGCCCGATCGCGTGGTGCGCGCCCTTAAGTCTCCATCCGGGCCTTGAAAAGCCGGGACTAACTTCTCTCCGCGAGGAGGAGGCGGAGGCGGCCGCAGGACGGAGGCCCGGGGGGGAGGGGCTGAGGGTAGTGGGGGAGGGGCGCGGCGCGCCTGAGGGGTTCGGGCCGGGACTGTCGGGAAAGGCAGTTGCATCCGGGTCTTTGTGAGGTAATTTGACCGCCCACGACGCTGCTGTGGAGATCGAGGGCGCCGACGCCAGCTGGATTCGGCCAGTTTTGCCTCTCTTCAGTTGGGAAGCTGAGAAAACCGGAACTGGCGCCATACGTGCTCTAGCGACCTCGTGGTCTCCGGCCTCCGGTCTAGAGCCTGTTGAAGGATCTTGACGTCACCGGCGGCGAAGACACGAGTGAATGAATGTTCAATTTTATGACAGAATTGGGTAAATAATTTTAGGGTTTGGTAAGTTTTCCTAATCAAGGAATTTAGGGGAAGAACAACAATCATAAATCACATTACAAAATTTTGAAAAAGAAAAAGACTCGAAGAATGTCAAGATGAAGCAGTAATAAACCGCCAACTCCAAGACCCGTCGTCGACTCCAGAACCTTCTACACGGACTTGGATTGTCTGAATTACTGAAACGTAACGCTTCTAAGTTGTTTAGGACACAGGTTTATGACGTAATTCCAAAATATTCCATCATAATCGTTGAGAAGAAGGACTCGATTGTAGTTCTTAATATCTGGCTGTATTTTGGATAGATTTCTTTTTAGGCAACTTCGTTTTAGCTGATATTAGGCACACAGACATAACTTTACTGGACTGAATCCTGGAAAAATCTGTTGAGTTCCATGTCTTTCTGAGCGGAGAATAGAAGATTTGGAGACCATTGCAGTCATGGCTTTCACAAATTACAGCAGTCTGAATCGAGCTCAACTAACTTTTGAGTATCTGCACACAAATTCGTAAGTATCTTACAGGGGCCACTCAGGTTAATATGGAAATCCTTTCAGCAGGAAAAAGCTTTTTCTTTTTTTGCATTTTCACTCTAGGATATATCACTGGAGTGTATCATTGGATATCTTGAGCTCTGTATTGAAGAACTGAGATTACTGAAATACTGGTAATCCAGAAGAATCTGATGTTCATTTGTTGGATCAAAAATTCTAAGTACAGATTTTATGTGAAGTCAGTTTTACTGAGTTGTTTCAGGTGTTTAGTAGAAATTCCACAAGTACTGCTCTTTGGATCGTCAAAAGTTAGACTATTTTAGCACCAACGGTTCTTCGTCTAGTAACAACAGTTTGTAGACAGTAAAGTTTATAACAAGTATTTCTAACCAAAAAGAAGACATTTAAACCATCTTAGGAGAAGAAAACTTTTTCTTTTTTTCAGCAAACAATTGGCTTTATCTTCCTAGTACATTCCAGTATGGTTTGTACTACCTAAACCCTGTAGACAGCCTGGAATCACAGATACATGCTGTGTTTATGGTTCTTCAGTTCATCCTGACATTATCACTCCAATTTGGTCTGGAATATTTTAGGGCTAATACTTAAACCCCCTGTCTTTTAAGTTGTCCAGTGAGGTCAAAACTTTTTCTGTTTTAATACATTCACCTGTTAACTGTAAAGATGAAGGTAAATTCTACAATTATACTGAGAGATGAGGTGATGGAACACCTAAATGAATTGTCCAGAGTTAGCTGAACAACCACTTTCAGATTTGAGTGTTTACTTCACTTATCCTCTAATCATACACCAAGTTTTATCTTTTGTGGCAAAGGCCATTATTTAATTCTATGATGAATTCCATGAGGTCCAACTTTTTTTTTCCTTTTTTCTAGTCAGAGAAATAACTTTTTTTTTTTTGAGCAGTGAAGTGGTTTGTCATACTGAAGGTGGTTTTATTTAGCTTTCTTTAGAAAGTTGTTTTTATTGAGTTCAGTTGTTTTAGAGAAGGGTACCTCAGGTGAATTCCCGAATAGAGGATTAATCTAGAACCTAGTTAGATGAGATCATGGGTCAAAGGCTGTAGCACAGCAATAGGCAAAACCTTCAGTGTCCTATGTTCAAACTGCCATATGTAAAGAAGGCTTTCACATGAAGGCTTCTTAGATGTCAGTCCATGAATGACTTGTGTTTTGGATTTTTGAATAATAGTAGATCAGAGATTATAAAACTCTTGGAAGACCATAAAATGGCTTTTAGAATATTGAGTTCCTGTTTCAGGTTGGCCATAGGTTTTGTGCAATAAAATAATATTGTCAACAATTGATTGCTTCATGCTGATAGCTGTTTTAAATGTATGTAATTTTTAAAGTAATTGGTGATTGTTTTTGTTTTATATTTGAGAAAACAGGCTCAAAGTGATAATAGTTACATCTGCTGAGTCAGTTGACTGAATTGAGAGGTACCTTGAAGTACAAGAAGATTGATGTGACCTCAGTGCTTTTAAACAAAAGTGCTGATTCAGTCAGTCTTATTTAGCTGGGCCTGCTTTCTTGTCTATAAAGCACTTTAAAAGATTTTACTTTCAATTCCAGTGAGTTTAATTTGAGGATTTTGAGCTATTTCTTCTTGCCTTTTTTTTTCTTTTGTTATTGCATAGGTTATTAATAGTAAGTGGGCAGTATTAAGTTACTTGTAAGTTCAAGGTAACGTTGGAGATTTTGTGTGTGTGTGAATTTTACTTGCTCATAATGAACTGGAACTAGTTGTTTGAACATAGTGAGGTTGGGCTCTCATTTTGGAATGTCTGGAATTTCTTATCTGAATCACAACTTTGACCTATGAAGTTGTTTTGCTTTTGAATGTGTCTTGTCTTAACAGAAGAAAATAGCAGTAGAATAGTGTTTTTGTTTTTTGTTTTGTTTTTTTGCCTTTTCTCTTTGAGACAGGTTTAATAGGTAGCACAGGCTGGCCTCAAACTCCCTATTTACTTCAGTCTCCTGGATGCTGGACTTTTTAGCACATGCCACTATACTTGGCATCTGGGTTGTTTCGTTGGTAACTAATTTCAAGATTTTTTTTTCTTGTTGTGGTAATTTGAGTAGAAGTTTATTCTCAGAAGAAACGAAAATCTCACCTGCTATGACTTTTAATGTTAATTATAAAGGTTGAAGATGAACTTGTGAGACACCTTCAGGGAAGAAAGATTGCTCTTACAGTACCATCTCTGTTCTATTAAAATGTTAAACTACCAGACCATTCTAAGATGTGTGACATATACAGTATTGCTAAATTATGAATTGTGAAAGGAATGGTGCCTTGTTTACCTTCTACTTAATGCAGACTTGCAAAGCCCAAAGTAGAAGGATGGACCTCATTGTGGTTTAGTGAAAAGCCTGGTCTTGGGAGCTAGTTTACCCTGGATTTGACTGGCTCATATCTGGGTCCTTGTATATCAGCTTCTTGAACTTCAGTTTCTTCCTCTATGGAGCTAATCTGATAGTGTAGTGTTTAAAAGACACTGTCCAATGATATAAAGGTCTTAGCTCATACATGGTACACATCGGATAATGGGGATATATGTGCTTAATCTTAGGGCCTCTCTCACCCTTGGCTTTTTTGCTTACAACTGGTACTCTACTTTTTGAACGTAGCCTCCAGTTCTGCCTTTTTGCTAGTTAATCAAGAGAGTCTCAAGGATTTGTCTCCTGGGCTGACTTTGAACTTGATCTTCAATGATTTCAGCTTCCTGAGTAGCTAGGATTATATGAGCTGTCTGTACCCAGATATTGTGTTAGTTTATATAAACCCAAAGTTAGTGTTTTGTGATTTTAGTCATTAAGGCAGATAAATTTTTAGTAAATAAGAGTCTTTACATAAAAGGCATTTATACTGTCAGCTACACTTTATGGTGGATTTTATGAATACTGTTGTTACTGTAGTGGTGGTAATATCCTTCAGCATAAGGTGTATATATATCTTAAATCACTTGAGTTGCCATTCCACTGTGTGGTCTGATGGAGTAGGATACTTAAGTCTTAAGAAGGCTGCTTTGTTTTTTTTTCTATATAAAGTATTTTTAAATTGGCATTTATTAAATTGTACATAGTTATACCATGACATTTCCAAACATGGATATGGTGTATTTTGATCACAATCCTATTTTTTCTTATCCCTCTTCATCTAAGATGGCTATTTTTTATGTCTTTGTTGGAACACTGAATAATTTACCTTGGACATACAATATTTCTAAGTTGTTTTAGCCATATGTAAAGTGAACATAGAGAATACTGTCAACTCAGAGACTTCAATTTCTAATCATTTACAAGCCATTTGAATATAAAATAGTCACTCCAGAATTTGTATGTGTGTGTCAGTTCTGGAGCTTGAACTCAGGTCCTGAGCATTGTTACTAAGCTTTTTTTTTTTTTCCTTAAGGCTAATGTTCTACCACTTGAGCCACAGCTCTACTTCTAGGGTTTTTTTTAGTGGCTATAAAGAGTTTTAGACTTTCCTGCCTGGGTTAACCTAGAATTGTGATTCTTAGCTCCTAAGTAGGGAGGATTACAGATGAGCCACCAGAACCCTGTTCTCACATTTCTTTTTTTTTTTTTTTGGGGTCCCATTGTGGGGCCTGAACTCTGGGCCTGGGCGCTGTCCCTCAGCTCTTCAGCTCAAGACACTTGAGCCACAGCACTACTTCTGGCTTTTTTCTTTTTGCTTATGTGGTGCTGAGGAATCTAACCCAGGGCCTCAGGCATGCAAGGCAAGCGCTTTACCACTGAGCCAACTTCCCAGCCCCCTCACATTTCTTTTTAACTAAGGCAATTAACTCTCTTTTCAACTCAGCAAAAACTGCCACTGTGTTATGAACTTGTGGGTAATCTGTTGGTTTAGATTCAGCCTGACTATAAATAGGGAGACCATTTTCCTTACATAACAAGCTAATTAATTTACACACGAATTTGTCATTGGAAATGCTGAGCTGCAGAACTATTTCTACTATGGCATGACCAGTTGAAAGCAGAAGTTTATAAAAATAAATGTCTTTTTCCAGATGGCTGATCTTTCTTGGATCACATGCAAAGGATTTTTAGTTCTATGAAGAAAATAATTTCTTTTGATATCTATCTCAAATGCTATCTAAAATGAGTATCCCTCTTGAAATTGAATTACTGTTTACCAGAATATATATTTTTTTAAAAAGGAACTTTTGCAGTTGGTATGCTTTCAATTATTTACCAGATATTTCAAACTATCATGTTAGCATTTGAGAGGTCCATCATTAATTAATTGAATCTTTGTCACAAAAGCCTTTATTTTATGATGTGCACTGCCATCATAAAAGTATCCTTGCTGCATTTAAAGGTATCTGTTATTTTATTTAAAATATGTGTGGACCAGCATTGATATTGTGTGGAACAAGAAAGACTTTGGAATTTTTTCAAGCCTTTGGAATTCTTTATTAGGTTCCACATAAAGGCTCATTTCTAAACTTTTGTACAAAACATTGAAAATTTAGAGGTACTTTGTGCTTGCTCTTTTGTGATCTTACTGGATTCTAAATACTGCTTTCATATGAAATTATCAGAAATAGGTAGTGCAGGAATACAGTTGCTATTTTATTTTTGGTTTCATGTCTTCATGGCAGAAGATGTCAGAATTAATTTTTCTGATAATTCCTATGCACTGTTCTTGCTAGCAAAGGCTAGAAACTTCATTTTTTTAAACTCACATTCTGAAATTAGTGCATTTGGGTATTATGGTTATTCTTGGAATAGTTGTGCTTTTTTCTCTTTAGCGCTATATTTTGAGATTACTTACTTAATGTTAAAATACTGCTTCATTTCTAAGTACGAAATATTTGGTTATTTTGTATGTCTAGGCAGTAATTCTCAGTTAAAAGAGTTTTAACTAACTTACTTTGAAGTTTATAAGTCACTTATCAATCAGACTAGGAGACAACTCAAAGCTTGAGAGCAAATCTTACCTCTTTTTGAGACAGAGTTTCAATATGTAGCCCAGGCTAACCTAGAATTTAGGATCCTCTTGTCTCAGCTACCTGAGTGCTGAGATTACAAGCATGTAGCAGCATGTCCAGATGAAAGTTAAATATAAACATAGAGCTCTTTTAGGTAGTTTTGCTTTTAGACATTTAGTTCTTCCATGTGAAATAGTTAAGAATTGCACTTTAGGGGTTGGAAGAATGGCTCAGTTGGTAGAGCTCTAGCCAGTGAGCAAAAATGGCAGGTACTGAGTTGGAGTCCCCATCTTGGACCTAAAAAAGAAAAGAATTACATTTTAGTAGATGAATTCAAACTCTGTAAGTTATTTGATGTATCTTATTGGTCTGTTTTAGCAGATTAGCAACAAATATGTTCACTGATCTTATGTGGGATAAATTTTAGGAGCTGGTAGTTTTAAATTCAAAATTCTTAGAAAAATTTGAAGAGTTTCTTGAGGAAAATCAAGTGTTCCTGGACAATTCAATCAAGTATTTATTTTATAAACAAATGTTTTACAGTTTATAACAGTATGAGGATATAACAATATAATGATATGATTAGAGATTTTTAGATGCTGGTTATTTAATATTGTTGTGTTCTAAATTTTTAGAAAAATTCACTTTGTGTATTGGTTGAAATTTTGCCCAAAAAAAGCAGAAATAGTTACTTGAATATTTAGGAAAAATTGATGATGGTAAATGTCGTGTGAGTTAGGGATTTTGTATTTTCTCAGGCTGAAAGTCAGGCTGGTTTTCCTAGATGGCTCTATGTAGCCATATGCTACTAGATTTAATGAGAACTATTCAAATGAACGAATTAAAGAAAGCATGAATTGGAAAAGGGAATTAATATGCTTTTGTATAGTTTAAAAAGCAAGAACATTCCTTTTGAAAACAGGAGAGAATAATAGTAATCTTGACTTTCTCAAGTTTTGGCTAACAACATTGAAGAAAGGAATTCAATACTCTTATCCTTTCTAAGGACAAGATCTTAGTGTGGTTTCCAGGAAAACTCCTTTAAGAAGGAGGAGCCAATGATCATTTCTTTTAGGAAATGGCTGAAAGTTCAGGTTGAGAATATGCCCAAGTACTAAATTATTCAGACTATAAAAGTGTACACACATAAAATGTATGCTTGTAATTCTTCCCATGAGGTGTATAGAAACTGACAGAAAAAAAACCTAAGGAAACATAAAATAGACATTTTTTGACACAGAATATCTCTAAGCATTTAGTACATGTGAAAGTTTTAATGCTTTAGAGTAGATTTCTCAACTCAAAATAAGAATAATCATTTCTCAGCAGATAGCAGGAGTTGTTTAATACTTGAAGGGAATTCTACAAAATCTTGATTTAGAGACATTGAAATTTCAATTGCATAGCTGGGCACTGGTAGCTCATGCCTGTAATTCTAGCTACTCAGAAGGTAGAGATCTGAGGATCATGGTTTGAAGCCAACTCAAGCAAGAGACTCTGTGAGACTTATCTCCGATTAACCACTAGAAAACTGGAAGTGACTCAAAGTGGAGCACTAGCTCTCAGCAAAAGAGCTCAGGACAGCACCTAGGCCCTGAGTTCAAGCCTCAGCCTAGAACTGGCACACGCACAGTAGTATAAATTATGAAAATGGAGATTTTTAGATTCCCTTTTTCCTAAAATCTTTTAAATATTTAGCATTTCAGCTTATTAGGAATTATCATCCATTCGTAATTCTTTTGCTGAGTCTTTGCATTTGTAATTTCAGAACTACTCATGAATTCTTGTTTGGTGCTCTTGCTGAACTGGTTGATAATGCAAGGTATGTAGTCTTCTAGTATATAAGCTGCTTGGAGTGGAAACTTTTTTGGATCCTTGTGACCTTTGCTCTCTGAAGACTTGAGATGAAGACATTTCTGTACTAGCTGCAACTCCCAGGAGGCCTGTTAGCAACAACAAAAAAAAAATTAATAGAACATTAATTGGTGCTTGCACTTTGTTTCTTGATTAACTTAAATTTGTTCATTATTGTTCCTGTCCTAGCCTAAAAATAGTGAATATCATCTCCCTAACCACCTTCCTTTGTGTATTAGAGTATAATACTTGTGAAAAACAGAGAAATATGATAGAAACTTAGGAGGCAAATTAATGGGACAGATAAGCTGTGATTTTGTGTCTAAAACAGTACACTAATGAGTGTGTGTGTGTGTGTGTGTGTGTGTGTGTGTGTGTGTGTGTGTAGTGTGGTGTGGTGTTTAACTAGGCCAGAGTTTTGTATCTTCTCAAAATGTTATTGTTAATAGCTGTACTTGGAAGGAATCACTCTTTAGCAGTGTTAATGTTTCTTAGTGATGAAAGCATATACATATACTGTGTAAGACTAAATACAAGTTTGGGTTCACTCATAGACCAAGACCTTAGTCAATAAAGATTTTATTTATGGCTATATTATAAAAAATATTATCTTGGGGGCTGGGAAGGTGGCTCAATGGTAGAGCACTTGCCTTGCATGCCTGAGGCCCTGGGTTTGATTCCTCAGCACCACATAAGCAAAAAGAAAAAAGCCGGAAGTGGCTGTGGCTCAAGTGGTAGAGTGCTAGCCTTGAGCTGAAGAGCTGAGGGACAGCGCCCAGGCCCAGAGTTCCGGCCCCATGACCGGACCCTCCAAAAAAAAAATTATCTTGGAGTTCTTATTCTTAAAAATAGACATAAAATTCAAACATGCCATTTATTGGCCATTCTTGATTGTGAAGGAAGAAGATGATAAGAGTTCATAGTAGTACCTTGAAATAGTTCCTAAGTGAACTTGCTTATAGTTACCAATGCCTGTATAGTTAACCTGATAGTTCATATTCTCCTTTGGCTCTTGCTTTTTTCTTTGCAGAGATGCTGATGCCACCAGAATAGATATTTATGCTGGTAAGTCTGACTTTAAACCTTTCTTCTAATGTCCAGTTCTTAGTGGGTACCCAGGAAGATGGGAAATAATTGGTTTCTGCAGTCTGGGAGATGGCAAAATCACTGTCGTAGGTAGAAACAGGGTAAATCTGGTCAGGCATGTCTTGGAAACCCAGAATACTGGTTTTGAAACTAAGAGTAGGTCTCCTACTCTGTGGAGACCAGCAGTATTGTGGGGTTATGGAGAGAGTTGTGGGGAATGAAGTGACAGAGTTCTGGTTGTCTTGCTGGAAAGGGATCTTGTTGGAGTTTTTCCCCTGCCATATAAGAAGTAGACAACAGTTCCAGCCAGGAGTGTAGCTGGTGTCCATTGCACAAAACAAGTGCCGGTTGGGATTTTTTAGCACTGGTTTTGCAGAGATGACCTCAGATAGAGGTGTCCTTGATAGGAAGGAGGAATGCCTGGCTTGGAATTGGAAGCTGTAAACAGCTACTTTTTGATTAATTCTCTTGTTTTATAGTATGATCTTCTCTTTTTCCTAGAGTGGTTGAAACAATGAAAAAAATCCTTAGATCAGTGGCCTTTTATTTATTTATTTTTTACATTTTGTGCTGGTCCATGAGCTGCTTTTGCTAGCTCTCTACTACTTGAGCCACAGTTCTACTTCTGGCTTTTTTGGTAGTTCAATGGAGATAAGACTTTTCTGCCCAAACTGACTTTGAGTGGGATCCTCAGATTTGTCTGGCCTTTCATTTATTTATTTTTTTAATAGTTTGTTGTTTGGTATTTGCACCAGCAGCTTTTTAGGTCATTTAGACATTAAAAATCTGGTGACAGAATTGAGGAAGGCAGCTCTTAAATCCAATTTGACTGGTATGATTTATTTTGCTGACACGTTCCTGAAATCTTCTGAAAAGTTTGTAGATATGTGTGTATTTATACAGAGTTATCTAATCTACATATATATACACAATGTACACTGGAAAAAGTACTTGGTACTGTGGTTTGAACTTAGGGCTTATTGCTTGCTAGACAGATGCTCTATCACTTGGGGCCCTTTTGCTTTCATTTGGGGACTAGGTTTTATGTTTTTTGCCAGGATGGATCTATGTGAACATTCTCTCTATGGTTCCTACATAACTGGAATGACAGGTGCATACCACCACGCCCAACTATTGGTTGAAATGATGTCCTGCTAACTTTTTCCCAGCTGACCTCAAATTGTGATCCTTCTCATGTTTGCCTCCCAATTAGCTAGGATTGTAGATGTGAGCCACTGTACCTGGCTGAGGTCATATTTTGAATAACATTGTCTTGCTTCTGAAAGTCTGTGTGTTTTATGTGTTATACAGTTATATGTGTTATACAGTTATCAACCCCTCTTCATGGGCTCACTTGGTGATTGGGAATAAGCACACGATAATTCTCAAACCTTTAATATCACATAATTATGGGGAATCTCCAGATAGATGCTGAAGTTCTCATGCCTAATATGCCTGGAGCAAAGAAAATATTCAGAACATGTACATATCAGCTGCACTTCTTCACTCGTGAAAGTCCTCTTTTGGAAAGTGGTCTCACTTTTGAGACAGGGTCTCACTTTGTGATTCCTTTTTGATTTAGAAACAGGAACAAGGGGTACAACAGAAGAATGTTAAGAAGGTTACTAAAGCCAGGGGTGCCTTTCCAACCTGCACCTGAGTGTGCTTCCAGCCATGGTAGCAGTTACCTTGAAAAAAACAGAGGCTGTTTTAACCACTGCACAGATGATAAAGCAGTAAAAATGGGCTTTTACTCCAAAGATGTATGATATCAGCAACAACTACTCATAAGAACTTTAAAAGAAAAGATTACCTTTCTCCCCTGTGCTACCTTCAGTGGGTGAATTTCTAGAAGGAAATTTAGTTCTTGTTGCTCAGAATGCTGCAGAACAGTTGGATTTCAATTTGAGTGAAAAATGTCCAGTGCTCATTTGTTCTGAGCTTAGTGTTCCTCCTGTTGTGCTTTGGGAAATTTATAGAGGATGAGATTAGGCCTTTGCTCTGAGAATTTAGCCTCTAATTGGAGAGACAATTAACACACTACAAATGATTAGAGAATGGTAACTAGATCTTAAGGGAGCAGTCAAGATAGTTAAGGATTAAATGGTATGATGGAAGCAGAAAGCAGCATAGTGTTTTGGAAAAACACTTGTTTTAACTCTTAAGTACTTTGAGATTGCAAGATGGGCCTCTACAAAGATGTGTGATATCAGTAATAAATACTCACAACTGAATACTTGGAATAACTATTCTTCAGAAACTAGATTGATATTGTGTTTGGGAAGCTCCTCAAATATAACATAGGGACTGAAGTCACCATAATAATCACATTTTCAAAACTTCATTTAATCTAAGAAGGGCAAGCTGAGCATGGTAGCACACTACTATAATCTTAGAAATAGAAGACTGAGGCAGTAAGATTGTGAATTTCAATCTATCTTGAACTAAATAGTAAGACCTGTCTCTAAAAATGAACAAAAAAAACCCAGCAACAACAAATAAACAAAAGCATAAAAAAACCCCACAAAACAAAAAAATAAAAAAAGCTAAGAAGAGAAAGGAGCCAGTCTTTCAAAGTACAGAGGTATTCACTTACCCAAAGAAATCTTATTAGTTACAGCCAGACTATGAAGATGTACACATAAGTAATAGTTCTCAGTTGTTTTTGGTTTTGTTTTTGGTCAGTCGTGGGGCTTGAACTCTGGGCTTGGGCGCTATCCCTCAGCTCTTCGGCTCAAGGCAAGCGTTCTACTGCTTGAGCCACAACGCCACTTCTAGTTTTCTAGTGGTTTATTGGAGATAAGAGTCTCACGGAGTTTCCTGCCTGGGCTGGCTTTGAACCTCGATCCTCATATCTCAGCCTCCTGAGTAGCTAGGATTATAAGCATGAGCCATTGGTATGTGGCCTAGATTCTGAGTTTTATTGACTTTCTTACCTTTCTCGAAGCATAGTACCACCTCCTTTAAGAGGGATCCCTTTTTGTGATCCAAGACAATGGTTAATAAATGAAAAATAAGTGAAAGTGAAATAAATTAATTCTGCTCATTTGGAGCATGTGAAGTTTAAGATTGCAGAATAAAATGAAGAACTTGATTGTCATTTCATAGCAACTTGTGTAAAGGACACCATTATTTATCACCTACAATTTTGACTTAGAGCTCTGTTTTATTTCTTTCCACTTTCTTTTTTTATTTTCATTTAAGACAGGGTATCATTATATAGCCCAGGCTGGCCTCAAGGTCAGGATCCTTCTACCATAGTCTCCTAAGTGCTGGAATTTCAGGTGTACACCAATACACCTGGCTCTTCACCTATTTCCAACTCAGGACGAATTGAATGGAAGGATATCAGGTTTGGTTGGAGAAGCTAGACTTTACAAGAGTTACAGGAGTTTTGAAGTGCAGCCTTTTGCTGGTATGCTGGTACTTGCCCATAATCTCAACCTTTGAGAATCTGAGGCAGAAGCATCACAAGTTAATTAAGTAGTGGATTGTCTGGGGAGATAGTTTTGAGCAGGGATGACTGCTTAGTTTTCTTGTTGGTTCTATATCAGTGTTTCACCCTCATAAACATTTCAACACTTAGGAGAAATGCATATTCTCAGACCCTACCTTAGATCTGTGCAGTCAGACTATCTAAGGTCCAACCCAGATTCTGTATTTTTATAAGCTCTTCAGGACATTCTTAGGCACATTACACTTTGCTCTTGTGGCTTCTTTCCCCATCTTATCCTTTAGCCAACTCCTGTTCTTTATCTCAGGTGCTGCAAAGAGTGGCAGAAAATAGAATTATTAGACTACAAGCTCCATGAAGACACTGGGCACATCTATCTGTATTGGTCACTGCTCTTGTCCCCGCCATAGGAGGTTTTCAGTAGTCATTAGGTAACCAGTGGTTTACATGTACCTCACCACCAGGTGAAGACATCATTCTATCTGTTTATAAGTTGAAGTTAATTTTGAATTATCCAATCTTTTCCTGCCCTGAGGAATTACTACATGTACCATGGACCTTGACACTCCTGAACATGTACAGTAGTTATATGGCCTTACCATATGGTTTCTTACTCTTGTAAAATACATTAAAAAGCCCTTGAGCTCACTATTAAGTGATAATTGTGCTGAAACAGCTTGCAAGCCTAGAAAGTAGCTTCTTAGGTACTTCGAGGGATGTCAGTAATCTTGGGGACTTTTCAGTTGCATTTGGCTTAAACCAATTTCTAGATCCTAGAGTTTCACATACCTTTTATGGCATAGTGTATGCAAATGGCTCTAAGCTAAAGTTAGAACTCTATTGCCAGCAGACTCCATGCCTGAGCTAGTTTGAATCTCAGTATGGCATTTTGCTTCTGCCAGATGGAAACACAGATATTGCCCCTCCCCTCACCCCCCAACTTTTCTTATATATGTTCTTGCTTGCCACATCTCATTTGGACTCTCCAGTAATAGGAGACATTGCAGTGGGAAAAATTTTCTTCTCTACCAGTAGTACTTCCAGGAAGACCCTCTACCCTGAACTTTCAAGAGGCACTTGTAATGCATATTCAGCTTCCTGAACACTAAGAGATACTTAAATCTCTGTGGTTTATAGCCCTTTCAAAATAGCATTTTAAAATTACTTTAAGCAGTCTGTTTGCCAGGGGGCAGTAACAACTCACTTGAATTTTTTTGCCTGAGGGGAGGACAAAGAGCATTTAAAACAGATGTGCCAGCATTAATAGTTATACAGATTTGATGAACTACAGCTTGAGTGTAAGAAAAAAAAATCCTCTGTTGTGAAGAGACTCCAAGCACCCTTACCTTTGTCCTTTTCATACATAAAGATTTCCTTCCTTTTTAGTAGCAGTGCTATTTTTGCGCCTGTGCCAAACAGTGGACCATGAACAGCAAGTTATACTTGGGTTGATGTTAGCTTATGTGGGTCCCCTTCCTCCACCTCTGTTTCAGGCTTTCTTTCTTTCATGTCTCCATATTTCTAATTCCAAGACTAGCACCTACTATTGAATCAAAAGGCACCTTGGAATCTAGTATAACACCTTCCCTGTTTGGAAATCTCTTCTCCATTGTCGTTTTTTTTTTTTTTTTTGGTCAGTTGTGGGGCTTGAACCTTGGGCCTGGGTGCTGTCCCTGAGCTCTTCAGCTCAAGGCGAGCACTCTACCACTTGAACCACACAGTGCCACTGCTGGCTTTCTGTTGGTTAATTGGAGATCAGAGTCTCACAGACTTTCCTGCCTGGGCTGGCTTTGAACCGCGCTTTTGAACTGCGATCCTCAGATCTCAGCCTTCTGAGTAGCTAAGATTACAGACATGAGCCTGACTCTCCATTGTCTTTGACATGCTAGACCAGACTGCTTTGGGTTCCCACATGTTGCTACAGGAGACATCTGCCAAAAGAAGTTCTTAATCTTCCCATTGGAGTGGCAGCTGCTATCTGTTGTGTTTCCCTCGTGTCAGCCAGGCTGTCTTTCCTTGGCTATTGGATCTTATTGTCAGAAGACTGTTGTAATCAGGTCCAGCCACTGTACCTGGTGTCATCTCATCCCCTTTCAAGGTCTCATCCCCTTTCAAGGACCCATTGCTAGTAGGGAATATGATGGATACCAATTAGCTCCCAAACTGTAGTTGGCCTGGAGAGAAGCATATATTAATTGTCACATAGTAATTCTTTTAGATGGCAGCTGCTTCCATTGTACCATATCATGGCCAGCTTCCTTTTAAATAAAAGCTTTCCCAGATTATAATCACAAAGAAAATGGGATACCCACTTAGGTTGAGTAGTGTAGGTAAGGTACAGTGTGTAATAGAGTACTTCACTGATTATGGGTATAGGGCAGATAGTAATCTAGGCTGAGAGACAAGGCTGACTGATGCTATGTGTGAAATTATACATACTCAGTGGTCTCTGGTATGATTAGATCCTGGACTAGGTAGTATGTACCACCTTCTTAAAGATTCTCTCAAATCTTTGTCATGAATTAGCATTGGGGCTGGGAAGGTGGCTCAGAGGTAGAGCGCTTACCTTGCATGCATGAGGCCCTGGGTTCAATTCCTCAGCACCACATAAGCAGAAAAAAAAAAGCCGGAAGTGGCGCTGTGGCTCAAGTGGTAGAGCGCTAGCCTTGAGCTAAAGAGCTGAGGGACAGCGCCCAGGCCCAGAGTTCAGGCCCACGACGGGACCAAAAAAAAAAAAATTAGCATTGGAACAACTTTGAGATAGGATTCATTACCCTGAAGGGTTTTGAAATTTAATTGACATTATCTAGGACTAGTAGGAGAAGATAGATTTGACCTGACCCTTTTGTATTAAGCTTCACATTGATGATTCTTCGGTTCATACTCATATTGCTGACCTCTAGTGAATAACAGCCTACTAATGGCAGCTACTTCTTTTCATAGAAAGGCGAGAGGACCTTCGAGGAGGATTTATGCTTTGCTTTTTGGATGATGGAGCAGGAATGGATCCGAGTAAGTGATGAAATCATTGTTTTTCTTTTGGGAAGGATATATCCATTTCTATAAAACACTTACTATTAAACTTGGTTTTCTGTGGCCTCACTGTTGCTGTAGGGGAAGTGAGAAACCTGAGAAGAAGACCAGTTGCAACATCTCAAGTTTAATTCCACTGTAGATCTGCTAGGTCCTGCCCTAACATAGGAGATACAATCTGAATGGCAACTTAAAGTCAAATTACCTGTCTCTTGATGTGGTATTCATCTGTTTGTACTACATCCTGAGGCCAGAAATTCTGAGGTCTCCCCCATCCTGTTACCATGTTCTGGTAACAGAAAATATGGTGCAACCATAGTACTGACAAGCCATGCATGTTTCCTCCATGTGAGTCATGGTTGCCAGTTTCCTCGGAGAGAGGTTTTAACACACACAAACCTGGATTTAACAAGGCTTAGACTGTAGACTTTGAGAAGCCTCTGAGATAAATACTAACTTCTCACTTTCTCTTGTGTCTGCCACTTCAGGTGATGCTGCAAGTGTGATCCAGTTTGGGAAGTCAGCCAAGCGAACACCAGAGTCCACTCAGATCGGGCAGTATGGAAATGGGTTAAAATCGTAAGTATACTAGAAGATTGTCCCAGGGCTGAACACAAAACCACGTGATGCTCTCTCTCTTACTGTCCTCCCACTAATCCTTCCATGACCAGGACTCCAGAAAATGATTTGGGGGTAGTTTATAACTACTTGTCTAGCTCAGTGTGCTGTACAGAATGGAAAACATAAGTGTTCAAAGTAAGTTGATAGGGAGAAGCTGTGTGTTTCTCTCCGCCTGGTGTTCTAGAACTGTGTCTCTCCTTGTGTTTGAGGATGTGAGTAATTCTTTTATGGGGTTAGGATGCATAGAAGATGGTAAGGGGTTGACCTTATGGTATAACAGTGTTTCTGAGGGCCTGCAGTGTGTCATGCTTTGTGCTAGGTGCTGGGGAGCCAGTGTGTGAGAGAGAAGCCCTCCCCCCAGTCGATGCGGTCTTTCATAACTTGAAAGGCTCTTACCTCATGTCTCCAGCTCCCCTGAGACCTCTCCCTCAGCCCTTAGTTCCCACTTGTTTATAAAGTGTTTGGAATGTGTTGTTCTGGTTTTGAGTGAAACCCCAAGAGAAAGGTTTCTATTTCTGAAATGCTCATTTCCAGCTGTACATACCTTCGATGGAATAAGATTTAGTGGAATTGGAGTGTGTGCAAATGGAATTAGGAGTCATGTTTCTAGTCATGCTGTGGAAACGGGTTGTTTTGAGAGAGGATCTATCAACAGCCATTATTGGGCCTCATATGCCATGTGCTTCTGGTGTGGAGGAGAAAGTGCTTCCAAAGAAATCAGGGACCTGGTTCCTGGACTTTCACAAGGTTAGAAACCAGATGGTAATAATAAGCACCTACCCTAGGCGAGGCCCTGCTAAAAACCTCACCTCAGTGGTCACACTTAATCTTTGTCACCCTATGATACACAGGGACTGTATTCCCATTTTCAGATTAAGAAATGGAGGTTTATGGGGGTGATGTGACTTGCCCAAAATTGTAAGTGTCTATTTGGACAGTTGGGCTATGAATCAGGTCTTTCTAACTGAAAAATGGAAGCTGATGTTCATTTCAATAAGACAAAGTAAGGTTCAAACCTTACCCATTTCTGTAAGCTGTAGTTTCTTTTTTTGTAAATGGAGATTATAATATATACCAAACAATTAAAGATTAATTGCTATCATTGCTGTGAGAGTCCCTGGTCTGGTTTCTAGCTTCTGTCTCCTCAGATCTTGCCATAGCAGGCTCTTACCCTAATTCAGCGAGGGCTTTTGTTGTTAGTCTTTTGTTGTTGTTGTTACTGTTTTTTGTTGTTGTTGTTAGTTCTGGGGCTTGAACTTAGGGTGTTTTGCTCTTGCCCAACTTTTTTGCTCATGGCTGGCACTTTACCAGTTAAGTGATGCCTCTAGTTTTGGTAGATGGATTCTTAATGACTTTTCTGCCCAGGCTTGCTTTGAACCATGATCTTTCAGTTTCCTGAGTCTCAGCTTCCTAAGATAACAGGTATGAGCCTCTTGTGCCTGGTACTCAGTAAGTCTTGATAGGACCAAGGGAACTGTGTTTTTCACAAATGAAGTGAATCATTTGGGAACATTCTCCAGGGGATTCTCATACAGGTGATCTAAGTCCTCCCAAAACTCAGGTTTTTCTAGAGTCAGTGGAAAGTCTGATTTCCCAACTGGATTGAGGGTCTGCCTTTATCTATCTTGTCCTATCAGTTCTCAGGGGCTCAGTTTCACTTTTCTGAGGGTATCTTTCCTAATCTAGAAAATGAGGTTTTGGCCAGGTCCCCAGTGGCCCATGCTTATAATCCTAGCTATGCAGGAAGCTGAGATCTGAGGATCGTGGTTCAATGCCAGTCCGGACAGGAAAGTCCATGAGACTCTGATCTCCAATTAACCACCAGAAACCAGAAGTGGAGCTGTGGCTCAAAGTGGTAGAGCACTAACCTTGAGCCAAAGAGCTCAAGGACAGTGCCCAGGCCCTGAAATCAAGCTCTATAACCAGGGAGGGAAAAGATGTTTTGGCCTCTGACATTCTCTCTTACACAGGGAGGTTTAGGAGTAAGTGAAATGCAACTCAGAAAGGCATAGAAGACTGGAAACGAACACATATATTCAATAGACTAGTGCAGGTTCCATTAAAATGGGAGCCACCTAGTGTCTGTTATGGACAATGTAACACTAACAGTTCAGGAGTTGGAAAAGAGTACCAGGAAAAGGTGACTTGTGAGAAACGATCAGGTTTTGGGGTTCTTGGTATCAAGGCCCTATCTATAGTAAGCATCAAAGAGGAAAGAACAGAGAGAGAGAGAGAGAGAGAGAGGAGAGAGAAAGACAGACTGAGACTTTGCCAGGCTAGAGCAAGCACAAGCTTTTTCAGAAGGCAGATGATGTACTTCCTTTTGCTATTCTCAAGCTTAAGTGAAGAAGGAGAAATGTGAAATTGAAGGGGAAGGAGCCCTGCCAACCCCAGGTGCTGGAGGAGGAAAAGAAACAGGATTTGGCAGCCCCTAGGATATCTCTAGAGAGTGTCCCAGGAGTTTTTCTGTTTGGGGAAATGGGGCATGACATTCATTTGTGTGCTTGGCATGCTAGTCTGGTTTGTATTTGTACTCAGATGAGAGTAACAAGGCTTCCACCTCTGTCATCTCCTGGGGATGTTGTGAGGACTAATGAGATAATAGCCATAAAGCCCCAGAAGCTGCTCAGAAGAAAGAAGCTAAACAGCCTTCCTATTGAGTAGGCAGTTCTCCTACTAGTGCTTCATGCTTCTGCTCTTCCTCATGCTACCTAGTAAGGCCTGTCCCTGCCTGCTCCCCAGAAGGATTAATGTAGCTAAGATGGAAGGAAACCATCAATTCCAGACGTTTTTGCTTGTGGAAGGCTCGGTTCCCAGAAACTGGCAGCATCTGAAAGTAAGGACCTGCCTGTGTCCGAAGGAGCTCAAGGTGTCAGAGCCATTCTGAGACAGAGGATGGCTGTGGTTATTGGACATCAGCCAATCGTAGTCCTCCTTGAACACAATTGTCAAAGGACCCAGTGTTTGCTTGAGCCTTGACTTCATTCTAGCTTTTGGAACACGCATGAGCATAAATATTGAACTGTTCCATTGATGGTGCTGCCATTTGCTAAGTGGACAGGAGACGTGTTTGTGCTAGTGAAGGAAGGCTAGAATGGAAACTGAGTGTGGCCCACACAGAGAGATGATGTGTTCATGGTGCTACCTAATAAAATGGCATCCAATGGCATGGAGCGCACAGTGGACCTCGTGTGGCTGGGATGAACTCTGAGCCCAAGGGCAATTACTGTTCACCTTGTGGTGACAAGCTAAGAATCCGATTAATACGAGGCTTGTGGCCAGTAATAAATATCTGAAAAGATGGAAAGATGAGAGATGGAAAAATGAACGATGGAAAGAGAGCCCTGTGTGGAGGCTAGGTATTGTTGAGAAAGTTGTAAGTAAAGTCTAGGAATTACAAGCTATCAGAAAAGCAAAGGAAAGAGTGTTGGCTGAATGAAGACTGAACAAGAGCTGTGGAACTCAGCTTAGAGACCTTGAAAAGAGCTCTCAGTTTCAGTCACATGGTGGGGTTGGGGTTTATTCCTCTTAAGGCTGAGATTGAATTTCTGGAAGAATAACCAGTTTTCTCCTTTCTTTTTGTAAAGAGGCTCAATGCGTATTGGGAAAGATTTTATTCTCTTCACCAAGAAAGAAGATACCATGACCTGTCTCTTCCTGTCCCGCACCTTTCATGAGGAAGAAGGCATTGATGAAGTAGGTCACATCCCTGTGGCCTGAATTGCCACTTGCAGATTCCTGGGGTTACAGGGTTGTAGTACATAGTCATTGTTATGGGACTAGCTTGTTGCATGAATTGTGAGAGGAAGCAAAAGCTCTCTTTTGTGTGTATGTGAGATCCTGGGATTTGAATTTAGGGCTTCACATTTGCTAGGCAGACACTGTACCACTTAAGCTACACCTCCAGTCCTGTTTCCAGTGGTTTGGGCTGGGTTGTAGTCATAAGTCACTGTTAGGGGCAAGAAATCAAATCTCAATGCACTGATGTGCTATTCTGTTTCTGAGAATCAGGCCATCAAGTGGCAGGAGCCAAGAGTTGGATTTGCAGCTCCTCTAGACCTTCATCAAAGTCTGTGTGGTTACTGTGTGATGATCAGCTTAGAAAGATGGAGATGTGTGTGAATGTTGAAGTGGACAGCTGAGAAACCCTGGCTGTGCTTTCCCAGTGGGAATCATACATAGCAGGGGTGGTGAGAGAAATAAAGGAGGGGTTGTGAATGACTTAAAGGATCTGGTGTGGCAGTTGGGGGTGGTGTACTATTCAGAGTTGGGAAAGAATAGCAGGGGGGCAGTTTGGAAGGGAGAGTGTAAGTTTGTGTAAGTGAAGTCCAAGTCTGGACTTGGGAGAGGTTTGGGCTCAAGCAGAGAGGGGAGTGAGAAGAAGACCTGGGAACTGGGTAGGCCAATATGGAAAGGTCGGGGAGAGGAGAAAGCAGCAAAGGACACAAAAGGTAGGAGGAAAAGCAGGAGAATGTGACATTGAAACTGAAGGAAGAGTGCCCAGTAGAAGTGAGTGCCTGTGTGGAAAGGAGTGCCACAGTCTAAACGGATGCCACTGTCACCAGCTGCTTCCATAAAGAATGGAGATGAAGATACAAGTTCGTAGAACATAAATGGCACTCACTTCTATTGGTGGAAAAGCTAGGTTGAAATTTTTTCCTTACTTGGTGCTAGAAGGTCACTATTTTGGATTGTCCTCTAGTGTGAACTCAGCCAAAATTTCAAAATAAAGATCATAGTTTAGACTAGGTGGAATGTGTCCAAACCAGCCCTGTGGTTGAATGCTTTCAGCAGGAAGCTTCTTAGAAACCAGCAGTGTTTCAGAACTCTTAGCAGTTTATCATCCTGGCACTTGTGGAGATACAGAGTCCCTTTGTATAAGGATAGGCCATCTGGTTCAGATCCCTGAGGTACCTCAACTGGATTGCTATACTCTGCTGGACTCTGCATGGTGGTTGGCATAATTAGGGGGAGTAATGTTTGAAGTAGGAGTTCTAAGAAAGATAATATTTTTAAAAAAACATTACTTAGAAGCAAAATCTATACATGTGGAAGAATGTATTAAAATAAATATACATTTGAGACTATAACTATAAACTCAGCACTCATAATTGCCATTAGAAGTTCCATGTAACCCTCTCACCAATCAAATTCCTAACTTTGCCACTGGAGGGAACACCTTTGAATCTTTTTGGGGCTGATCGTGTTCTTCTTTTTTTATATAGTTATCACCTGAGGATACATCTATAAATAGTAGTTTACAATTTTAATTTAGTTTTACATAAATGAAGTCACATTTTGTACCTTCTTTCATTAACATTGTTTTTGAGATTCATCCATGTTTGATGCCAAGTTGTCAGTGTGTTCATTTTCATTGCTATGTGATTCTCTGGATAAATATTCCATAATTTAATATATCTGGTCTTTAGTGCATATTAATTATTCCTACACCTGTTTGTAGGTACATACGTAAAGTTTCCTGTAAGATATAGTGTATTTACTCAGGAGTAGAATTGCTCAGTTGTAGATTATGTGCAGTTTTAGATTCACTAGGTAATTGCAAGTATGTTTTTCTTAGCTATAAGAGTAACATTTTAAACCAAATTAAGAAAGTAGTCAGGGATATCCCAAGCAGGGAATTACCCTTGCAGCTGGACATAAACCATTATGAATCTTAGAAGATTGTGTGGTGAAGAAGCCACAGAAGCTCTCTGCTAGACTTCAGTGCATGGGCCTTAACTCTGGGCTGTGTGGAATCATGGGAAGGGACCAGATGGCTGCCTCTTTTGGGGGAAGGCTGTTCTGGTTCCTTACTCCCAGAGTGCACCTGTGCTTACTCCAAAGGTGATAGTTCCATTGCCCACCTGGAATTCTCGGACCCGGGAACCTGTCACAGACAATGTAGAAAAGTTTGCCATTGAGACAGAACTCATCTACAAGTATTCTCCTTTCCGCACTGAGGAGGAAGTGATGACTCAGTTCATGAAGATTCCTGGGAACAGCGGTAAGAAGGCTTTGAGCCTCTGCAGCCTTTAGAACCAGGATCTCTATGGCCACAAGTGGCCTGGGCCAGGGTTGGCTGGCAGAATAGAAGGATTTCTGTTCCCTAGGAACCCTGGTGATTATCTTTAATCTCAAACTCATGGACAATGGAGAGCCCGAACTAGACATAGTCTCAAATCCGAAAGATATCCAGATGGCAGAGACCTCCCCAGAGGGAACGTGAGTATGGCTGGGGAAGGGTGGCAAGCCTGAAATTCTCCCTGAAATCCTCCTCTGGATTTCTCTCTGTGGCTGCCCCAGAGCTATCGGAGCTGAGAGCTGCCTGCCTACTTGCCACAAAGCATCAGGGCTGTGTAGCAGGAGAGTAAGCAAAACACTAAACTAAGAGTAATGATTTAACAGAAGAAACTCTAGGGAAGGAGATTGCCCCCGTGTCTCTGGTAACGGCAATGCTAGGGCAGGTGAGCTGTCCCCGGGCCACCTGTGCTGGAGACATGACCAGGCCTAGTGCCCATGCTGAGGGAGCACTTTGCCTCAGGCCAGCAAGAGATGACAAAATGTGAGGTGGAGAGGAGGGGGGCCCTGTAGAGAGGCCTTGGTTGGACTCACTTGGGTTTGTTGTAGGACAAATGACATCGTTCCTTTCTGCCTCCAGGAAGCCAGAGAGGCGCTCTTTCCGTGCCTATGCTGCGGTGCTCTATATTGACCCACGAATGAGGATATTTATCCATGGACACAAGGTGCAGACCAAGAGGCTCTCCTGCTGCCTGTACAATCCTAGGTAGGGGCCTGCCTACCTTGATTTAGGCTGAGGACAGAGCCTGGCTACATTTTGAGAGTGATGCAGTGTGAGTGAGGGACTCCTACTGCTGTTTGTGTTTGGCCAGTCTATGATTTGCCAGAGTCACTGGGTCCTGAGGGAGAGGCAGGGGTGAAGGGTCAATTGTAGGAGTTGGCTGGCTGACCCTTTTGAGGTAGAAAGTGGCATAGTGAGCTCTTAGGGCAGTGCTACACAGGAAAGTAAAGGGCATGACTTACCAAGGGAGGCTTGTTTCTGATGTGAAATTAACAACACCCAGGTGAATAAAAAAGACACAGGAATATGATCTTTTTGATAAAATAAGCTCAGATTTGCTTCATCACAAAGGTTGTAGAAGGAAGCTGCTCAGGCTGGCCACTGGCTCCCCTGCTCCTCAGCCCTTAGATTGCTTTTTCCATTGTTCAGGATGTACAAGTACACATCAAGCCGTTTCAAGACCCGTGCAGAGCAGGAGGTGAAAAAAGCAGAGCACGTAGCTCGGATTGGTAATGCCACTCCCTATGTTGGGGCAGGGTTTGGGTGAGTGGGGTTCACGTGGGGAACCAGCCAGGGACAAAGCTGTTCAAAACCAGTTCCTCTGCAACTATTGCCTCATGTCCAACCCCTCAGCACTTGTCTCTCCAGACTCTACTCTCCTTCCTTCATCATTTATAGAGACTTAACCTAAAATAGTGTCAAGAAGAATCCTACACTGTCTCTTGTCCCAAATACTCGTATAATTAGTTTTTTTTGGCTCCAGGGCAGAAATCTCAAGGTGTATCCCCAGGGCTCCCAGCTGTCTTCTTAGCTGCTTGATAGAAGACTTCTTTAGCCTCCAGTTTATGCTGAAGGTTTAATTCGTATTGCCTGGAGTGTTTTTTGTGAAGTTTGAAAAGCACACTTCAAGTATCAATAGCATCTATCCCTTGAGCTCTCCATGATTCTCATTAATATTATTTTTTTAGTGATACTTGGGTTTGAACTCAGGGCCTTATGTTTGCTTGGCAGGCATTTTAAAACCCCTAGGCTTTAAAAAATTTTGTTTGCTTTAGCTATTTTTCAGGTAAGCTCTAGTGTTTTTTTTTTTTTTTGCCTCCAACCTTCTGCATAGCAGGGATCATATGTACAGGCCACCATAGGTATAGGCTTATTGATCAAGAGGGAAAGGGGCATGTTTTGTTAAGGTTTTGCCTTGGCTAGCCTTCAACCTTGATCCTCCCTATTTCTGCCTTCCCAGTAGCTGGATGACTGCAGGCATGAGTCATCCCTTGTGCCTCTGTGATCTTTTAAATGACAGATTTTCCTTTCTGAAGCAACTCTGCAGCTCAATCCTGGAGGCTTTTCCTTCATTACCCAGCAGCTGTTGTTTCTGTACACACTTCTTGTGTAGCAGTGACTGTTCTGTGAATCTAAAAGGAAGGACAACTTGGAACCTCTGAACTATTTTTTTTTGCAGTACTGGGGTTTGAACTGAAATTAGTAGGTAAATATTCTACCACTTAAGGCCCATACCCCTAGCCCTCGTGGCTCAGTGGTAGAGTGCTTGCCTTGCATGCATGAGGCCCTGGGTTCAATTCCTCAGTACCACATAAGCAGAAAAAAAAAAAAGCTGGAAGTGGCGCTGTGGCTCAAATGGTAGAGCACTAGCCTTGAGGTGAAGAGCTGAGGGACAGTGCCCAAGCCCAGAGTTCAGGCCCCATGACCAGATCCCCCCCCAAAAAAAAATTCTTTATGATGATTTCTTCTGGTTTTCAGCTGAAGAGAAGGCTCGGGAGGCAGAAAGCAAAGCTCGGACTTTAGAAGTACGACTGGGTGGAGATCTCACGCGGGACTCTAGGGTAAGGCCCCAGCCCTGTGTTATTCTCTAGTGTTTCTAGCACTAGGAGCCCGTGGCAAGCTAGCCTGCCTGGTCAAACAAAATAGATTACAGGTTTGTCTCTGGTGGCAGCCATTTTCTTCAGAAAGCAGGAAATATGTAGATGTGGTTTTGCATCCATATCAGTGAGATTTTTTAGATGTAATGCCGTAATACTGTATTGCCAGGTGATGTTGCGGCAGGTTCAGAACACCGCCATCACCCTGCGTAGAGAAGCTGATGTCAAGAAGAGGATTAAGGAGGCCAAACAACGGTGAGTTCTTGGACTTTCCTTTGGTCTTTTAAAGTTACATACCTTTTGTACTGATGGCCAGTTTGCCATTGTGACAGTAGGTTTACTTTGAGAAAATGATGAATATTGTGATCCCCAATGCTTGTCAAATCCCCTTTTAGAACAGAGGTCTAACCTTGAGCTCTCTCAGTCTTTGATTCTGTATGAGAAAGGACAGACCTGACACCTTGAACCACCAAGCCACGCTTGCTAGTTCTGAATCACCTCTGTCTCTGTTTCTGTCTGTCTGTCTCTTTCTCTCTCTGATTCTACAAAACACTCATTGTATAACATTTAAGGAATAAACTTTTAAAACTTATGCTTCTACCACCTGGTAATATCTTCTTTTAATCTTTTATGTTGCATATATATTCATAATTTATTCTGCCCTCATTGGCTACAAATGTGGAATACTGATATAAGTTGACTTTCTTGTTTAGAATGTGTTGCCTTGGGCCATGATAGTAGTTCTTTGTCCCTGGTCACAGCTCTCTGTGGAGCTGCCTGGGTTCTGAGGCATGAATTGCTCGTTTGCTTCTGGTTGGTCTCCTTGCCCTAGGTCTAGGTCTAGGTTTCAGGTTTCATTCCATTGCTCATGGATCTGCTTTTCTGTTCCAAGATTTTCTTGACACAGTCATGTGGTAGTATCATAGGTGTTTTTAAATTTTTGTCCTCAAAAATTAATTTACCAAGGCTAAGGGCATGGCTCGAGATAGAGCACCTGCCTAGCAAGTGTGAGGCCTTGGATTCAGACCCCAGTATTGCTCTCCAGAAAGTTGATTTATGAACTGAGGATGTGGTGGTGCATGCTAGCACTTAGGAAGCTTGAGGCAGGAGAATTGTGAGTTTGAGGCCAGCCTGGGCTACATAGCAAGGCTATGACTCAGAGAAGTCAATAAGAAGTCACTATAGATAATTAATTGGTGGAGAGTCAGAGAAGGAATGAAGATAACTTTGTGTTCTACCATGTAACTATCTTTGCAAAGATTTACAGCAGCTTCATACTAACCCATTAATAGTCCATTCCTATTTCATTGCCAAAAAAATGAAAAACTGTATAGTTTTAGTTACAGAAGGCTAGAGTCATTGCATAGTGCAGATTCTTAGCAAGTCTAATACATAACACATTGACTCTTGGAGATGCGTTCTTGTTTTTTTTGTTTGTTTTTTTTGGGGGGGTCCGGTCGTGGGGCCTGAACTCTGGGCCTGGGCGCTGTCTCTCAGCTCTTCAGCTCAAGACTAGCGCTCTACCACTTGAGCCACAGCGCCACTTCTGGCTTTTTTCTTTTTTGCTTATGTGGTGCTGAGGAATCAAACCCAGGGCCTCAGGCATGCAAGGCAAGCGCTCTACCACTGAGCCACCTTCCCAGCCCACGTTCTTGTTTTTTTGGTTTACTGTATCTAAAGTTTAAGCTTAACTATCTTTATCACCTTGGTGTTTGTGTTTTTGACCAGACTTCTGATTTTTTTTTCTTTCTTAGAGCACTCAAAGAACCTAAGGAATTAAATTTTGTTTTTGGTGTCAACATTGAACACCGAGACCTTGATGGTATGTTCATCTATAACTGTAGCCGCCTCATCAAAATGTATGAGAAAGTAGGCCCACAGCTGGAAGGGGGCATGTGAGTAAACTTCCTCCGGGGACCTTTCCAGCCCGATAGGGATGCAGGACTTTGGTTAGTGAGGTGACAGCTGTGTCTGCTTTCTCTGTGCAGGGCATGTGGTGGGGTTGTTGGTGTCGTTGATGTGCCCTACCTGGTCTTGGAGCCTACGCACAACAAGCAGGACTTTGCTGATGCCAAGGAGTACCGGCACCTGCTTCGGGCAATGGGGGAGCACCTAGCACAGTACTGGAAGGACATTGCCATTGGTAATGGGGTCAGGCCCCTGGGCTTCTGCCCTTTTTCTCTTTACCTGTAGCTTTAAGATGCTCTTGTAGCCTGAGAGGGTGAATTTCAGAAGAGGGTGAGATTGGCTCCTAATGTGACAGGTTTGTATCTACCTTACAGCCCAGCGTGGAATCATCAAGTTCTGGGATGATTTTGGCTATCTTTCTGCCAACTGGAACCAGCCCCCATCTAGTGAGTTGCGTTTCAAACGCCGGAGAGCTATGGAAATCCCAACCACTATCCAGTGTGGTGAGTTGAGTGGTTGGAACCCTCTTCTGACTTTTTTGCATAGTAGTCCACCTACCTCTCTGTCCATCACAGTGCTTGCCTTTATGATCTGATTTGGCTCCTACTAGGGATCTGATTGGCTGTGGACCTGTCTTATGGCTATGCCTCCTAGATGAGGCAGAAAGTCACCTAACCTTCCAGGCCTCTCCCACCACAGCTGGGCCAGGTGCAATGGATTTTATACCATTGAGTGGATGAGGCAGGCAGGAGAGAAGCTAGGGACATTAAGAACCCAGGATACTGGGCTGGGGATGTAGCTCAGTGGTGGAGCACTTGCCTAGAATACATAAAGACCCGAGCTTAATCCTAGCACCAAAGGAGTACAATATTAACTTTTCATTCTTGTTTTAATCACTGTCCCCCAAAACATATACTGCTTTATAAGGACAGAACAGAGTTGGAGCCAGAAGAAAGATCATTGTGTGAAAAGTCTGGAGCATCTTTGCTTGGGCTTGGCTGTGAGGAAGACTCCAGATATTGCTGTTGGGTGCTGTTGGAACATCTGTGGGTTTTTCTTTGTTGCAGATTTGTGTCTGAAGTGGAGAACCCTCCCCTACCAGATGAGTTCAGTGGAAAAAGATTACCCTGACACCTGGGTTTGTTCCATGAACCCTGATCCTGAGCAGGACCGGTGAGCCCTAATAGGGTTTGTAGGTACTTTCCAACTAATATACACATGCACACCCAGCCAATCATCCCTTTTCCATCCACTCTTGAGATAAGTAACTTGGTGTTTCTTAAGGTCATTGCTCATATCCTTGAATCTCTGTCTTGCTGTACATAATAAGCACACAGGAGGGAGGAAGGAGTATGTCCCGTAGTACATGCCAGTTCCATGCCCTGGAGCTCAGCTGGTTGCTCCTGTCTCTCCTTTGAGAGACATCAGAGTTGGCTGAGGAACAGGGCCCTGTCTGATATGATCTCCCTAATCTCTTCTTTCTCCAGGTGTGAGGCTTCTGAACAGAAGCAGAAGGTTCCTTTGGGAACATTGAAAAAGGACACAAAGACACAAGAAGAGAAGCAAAAGCAGCTGACAGAGAAAATTCGCCAGCAGCAGGAGAAGTTAGAGGCTCTTCAGGTGTGTAGATCATGGGCATTGGGCAGATGGCCATCCTGTGTTGTGTCTGCCTGGCAGTGGCTTTCAATGGCTCTATGTGCTCTCCATGGTGTGTGCTCAGCAAGGCTTTCCAACCTGGGCTTCTGGTCCAAACAGCCTGTTTTTTAAGTACACCTTGCTTATTTTTTCAAATAACAAACTGTTTTGTTTATGTGCTCCAAAGTGGTCCAGTTTATTTAGAGAGTATAACTCCAGAAAATACAGTCACTCTTAACTAAATATCGTTCTAATTTTTCATGTATCACATAGTATTTATTCACACATAGATAAATATATATGTACATGTATATATTTTTACTGTTTATCTTTCTTGATGAGTTTCTAGATATGAAATTCAAAAAAGTTTGCAGAACTTCCCAAAGTTAATTTCTGCATATGTAGAAGATAGGCAAAGATACCCATCTTGTAATTTTAATTTCATTTATTTATTTGTGTCAGTCCTGGGGCCTGGGCACTGTCCCTGATCTTCTTTTGTTTAAGGCTAGCACTGTACTTGAGCTCTACTTCCAGCTCTTTTGGTAGTGGGGAAAAGAGTCTCACAGATTTTTCTGCCCAGGCTGGCTTCAAACCACAATTGACAGATCTGTCTTCTGAGTAGCTAGGATTACAGGCATGAGCCACCAGCACCTGGCTTTTTTCTTTTTTGTCGGTCATGGGGCTTGAACTCTGTGCTTGGGCGCTGACCCTGCATTCTTCAGCTCAAGGTGAGTGCTTTATCACTTGAGCCACAGTGCCACTTCCTGGCTTTTTTTTACATTTTTAACATTGGACAATTTCTTTGTATGTACACTTGTATTTCTTTTAGAATTCTTAAATTTATTACATCAACATTTATTGTTTTCTATTTTCTTGAGCTATTTACTAGATTTTTTTAAAGATTTTTTTTTTCTATTGTGTCGATTACACAGAGCATTTTCCTTTCTGGCTTTAAGCAGTGCTCTAACTTATGTGTACTCTTATGTGTACCCTCCATCTGCTGAAACTCGTTTTTTGTGGCTTTGTCAGAAAAAGTTTTCCTCTTCCATTAGGCCTTTTCCCCCTTTTGTGGCTCATTTTAGAGAAGTTTGTCCATTGATACTTTCCCTGTCTCTCAGTTGCTGCATCAGTCTCATAGTATTGTGTAATTGCACATAGTCTAGACTTTATGTAGTTTTTGACTCCAGTAAGAGTAGGAGGTTTGTCAGGACTATGTTTTGGCTCAAGTTTTATTTGTCTATTTACTGTCTGGGGCACATAGTGAAGGTCCCAAAAGAGTTCAACTCTTTTTGGACTCAATGTACCAAGATGTACAAAGAGTTCAACTCTTTTTGGACTCAATGTACCAAGATGTACAACTTCATATGTTTTGCTTGCAGAAAACCACACCTATCCGCTCACAAGCTGACCTGAAGAAATTACCCCTAGAAGTGACTACCAGACCGTCCACTGAGGTAAAGCCCAGGACATGGTGGGGCTCTTCCTCTCTTGTTATGCTGGTATCAGTGTTCTTGCTCCTCATGGCCTCTTTTTAGGAACCTGCGCGGAGATCTCAGCGTCCTCGGTCGCCCCCATTACCTGCTGTGATCAAGAATGCCCCGAGCAGACCCCCTTCCCTGCAGACTGCCAGGTTAACCAACCAATCTCGAAAGGCTCCTGTCATCAGCAGCTCCCCAAAGCCTCCTGTTCTGACAGCCCGGGCAGAAGCCAGTACCTCCCGGCTGCTCAATTCAGCTGATCCACCCCGAAAGCCTCTGAGTGTTCCCATCAAGGCTGCATCCCGGCCTGCCCCTGTGGTGCAGCCATCGCCATCATCTCTACTGCCCAACGCCAAGAACCCTCGAGAGATCCCTCCCCCCAAAGCCATTAAGAATCCAGTGGTCAAGAAACCAGAGCCGCCAGTTAGACTCTCTGCGGTGAGATGCTTTGACTCCTCCAGGCCCCTAATTACTGCAGGTGTTATAGGAATAGAATCGTGCAGTGTCAAAACTACTAGAGGAGCTATAGGAAGGTCACCAAACCTAGCAGATTTTCTGCTGCCCTGAGGAGGGAGAAAGAACAAGAAAGCTAAAAGGACTTGCTCAGAGACATGGAGTAGGTTTGGTTCCCTATCCAGGGAGTTCTTCCTGCCTAAGCTTTGATGTGCCACAAATGGAGTCACTAGCACTGGCTTTTCATAGTGTGGGCAGAGGTTAGTGGCTTGGGGACAGTTGGCTTTGGTGGGCTGTAGTAGTTGTCAGCATGTGTCAGGGAGTATACAACTGGTTAGCCAGGCAGGCAATCAGGGAACAAACTCTGAGCAAAGTTCCTCCTGGTACAAGAGCCAGGATGTTGCTTACCTGTGTACTGAGTAGAGTCATGTAGGGACAGGGTGCAGTCCCCTCTGGGAATAGCCCCCTTTAGCCACACAGAATCTTCCTGTGCCTTTACACCTCGCAATCCCTCATGTTCCCACTCTTCTCTTACACTAGGCTAATCGGAAGCGGAGTCTTGTGATCTCTGATGAGGAAGATACTGAGGAAGAAGCTGAGAAGAGGAAGGAGAGGTGCAAACGGGGCAAGTTTGCTGTGAAGGAGGAAAAGAAGGAATCGAATGAGGTGGGTAACTGAGATGAGGTTCTCAAAGCCTCCCTCTCTGTGGCCTGTGTGCTGGCTGTGCTGGCTCCCATTGTGTTGATGATCTGAGCCTTCCACAAACTACAAATGCAGTGTCAGGAAAGACACTGAGAGTGAGAGTGGCTCTAATGACAGGCCCAGAGCTCAACTGGTGACCTGGTGGGGTCCAGAGAGATCACTTTTTTTTTTTTCCCAGACCTGGGGCTTGAACTCAGGGCCTGGGTACTGTCCCTGAGCTTCTTTGGCTCAAGGCTAACACTCTACCACTTGAGTCACAGCACCACTTCCAGCTTTTTCTATTTATGTGGTACTGAGGAATTGAACCCAGGGCTTCATGCATGCTAGGCAAGCACTCTACCACTGAGCCACCTTCCCAGCCCCCAGGGATCACTTTTTCCCCATGTCTGTGATATGCCTCATGCCTTAATTTTTTTTATTATTATAATAAAGGTGATGTACAGAGGGGATTACCACATTTATTTATTTTGGGGTCCGGTCGTGGGGTCTAAACTCTGGGTCTGGGCGCTGTCCCTCAGCTCTTCAGCTCAAGGCTAGTGCTCTACCACTTGAGCCACAGCACCACTTCTGGCTTTTTTTTCTTTTTGCTTATGTGGTGCTGAGGAACCGAACCCAGGGCCTCATGCATGCAAGGCAAGCGCTCTACCACTGAACCACCTTCCCAGCCCTACCACATTTAATTTAAAGATGACATGTCCTAGCACTATGATTTTAGAGAGTGAAACTGCAGCTCCAAAAGACACACCGATGACTGTGGGTGGCCAGTAATACAGAAGTCTTTTTTGCAGGTCACTGGAGATGCCTCCTTGCAGCAATCAGACAGTGCTGGGGAAGAGGACCAAGCTGAACTCAAAAATGCTCAGAAAGGTGAGCTTGGAGAGGCCCCCACAGCCTTCAATAGCAGTGAAGTAGATCTTTCACTAGTAGCAGTTTGCTGCAGAAGGCTTAGAGGTCTTGCTTAGGCTTGGGCCTGATGCAGCAAGTGATTTCAGTCTAATCCCAAGCAGAATTCCAAAGTTAATATCCCCTGTGCAGGGTTTTGTTGTTGTTGTTGTTTTGCTTGTGGTACTGGAGATTAAACCCAGGGCCTTGCTCTATCAATGAACCATCCATGTTCTCAACCCCACTGTATGATCTTTTTGTGTGCATGTGCGCGCACACATGCTCTCATGAATACTATGCATGTGTAGTATTGTTTTGAGATAGTCTTCCTATATAGTCAGGCTTGCTTTGAACTTGCTGTTGTTGAACTTGTGATCCTTTTGCCCAGCCTTCTGAGTGCTGAGCCTGGCTTTTTTTTTAAAAACACTTAATCCTTTGGTGTTCACTCATCCTCTTGCTTCCCAGCAGCCTCGTGTCAGGTGAAGGATGGTGGACTGGGTCCCTGGGGCAGTAAGGCAAACATCTGGGGCTCTGTGCTCCAACGCCCCCACCTGGCTAAATGGAGACAGTAATCTAGTTCTCTGATTTCTTGTTTCTGAATTCTCAGATAAAGGGCTGCACGTAGAGGTTCGTGTGAATAAGGAGTGGTACACTGGCCGTGTGACAGCTGTTGAATTGGGCAAGAATGTGGTACGGTGGAAGGTGAAGTTTGACTACGTGCCTACAGACACAACGCCAAGAGACCGCTGGTAATGCCCCTTTCTGGGAGGCCAGGAACAGGTCAGCGAGGACAAAGGGAGGAGGCAGCATTTAGCGTCCCAAGATGTCCTGACACAAGCTCTGTGCCCCATAGGGTGGAGAAAGGCAGTGAAGATGTGCGGCTGATGAAGCCACCTTCTCCAGAGTATCAAAGCCCTGACACACAGCAAGAATGTGGAGAAGAAGAGGAGGCTGTGTTGGTCCAGCAGCCTGTGGCTTTGGTGGAGCCCTCTACCTCTGACTGTGCCCGCATAGAGCCAGATACCACTGCCCCAAACACCAGCCATGAGACCATTGACTTGCTGGTCCAGATTCTCCGGTTTGTGTCTTTGGCTTTCTTCTCTGGGCTGACAGTAACACTCCACACCACACTATTCCAAGTTCTCATTCTCACCTTCTTTCTTGCTTAGGAATTGCTTACGGTATTTTCTGCCTCCGAGTTTTCCCATCTCCAAGAAGGAGCTGAGTGTTATGAATTCACATGAGCTAATATCTTTTCCTCTGGTGAGTCTGGCCCGCCTTTGGTATTACATCCCCATTCCCTGTTTGTGCTTGTGATTGCTCCTGAGATTGATTGCTACCTTTCAACTTTGCACTCCACCTCAGCTTGCTTATTTGTGTGTGTGTGTGTGTGTGTGTACTGGAGCTTGAACTCAGGGCCTGGGTGCTGTGTGTGTGTGTGTGTGTGTGTGTACTGGAGCTTGAACTCAGGGCCTGGGTGCTGTGTGTGTGTGTGTGTGTGTGTGCGTGTATGTGTGTGTGTGTGTGTACTGGAGCTTGAACTCAGGGCCTGGGTGCTGTGTGTGTGTGTGTGTGTGTGTGTGTGTGTGTGTGTGTGTGTGTGTGTGTGTGTGTGTGTGTGTGTGTGTGTGTGTGTGTGTGTACTAGAGCTTGAACTCAGGGCCTGGGTGCTGTCCTTGGCTTCCCTTTCTTCTGCTCAGAAAAAGAAGGAAGAGACTGTGTTGTGGAGAAAATGTAGTTTTGATACTCACCATAGAGGCTAGATGTTGAGCATTCCTTGTAGTCAGAGACATGGTTTAACATTTTAGTCAAGTACATGCCTTTTTTATTCTAGTTTATTCTAGTACAAGTAAACCTGTCCCAGGTAACAGAAAAGTGTAAAACTTGGCGCTGAGTGTAGGTAGGCTGACACTGTAGCATATGATGAGCACCAGGGCTCAGGTGGCCCAGCAAATGTTGATGTGTCACTTCCTCCAATCCTTTCTTGGACACTTAAGCTGCATTAGAGACATGCTGAACACAGTGAGTGGAGGGCAGTGGCTAGAGCTATGGCAGCCAGGGAGGGAGGGCGAAGGAACAAGGTTCTGCTAAGTGCTTCATTTGTGTAAGCAAGGGGGGGCGGGGCGGCTATCTGAGGTGAAGACTCCAGTGGCAAAGGCTCAGGTGGGGGCGGGGGAAGGATGGCAATAGGGTTAGGGTAGCAGTTTTAAGTTAAGCATTTAGGAGAGAAGAGGCTGGAGAGTAGGAAGTGGTGCATTTTAGGTGTCTACTGTAAGCGTGCTGGCCTAACCTCTGTGCAGGGAATGGATGGAGGGCCAGCAAAAGTTTGAGCTGCAGGAGCCATCCAGTGTGCACCATGTCCAGGGCAGGGGCCTACAGCTTTTTAATAGGCCAGTTAGCAAGTACAGCTTTTCAACCATCTAGTCTCTATGGCAACTACTCATCTCTGCCACTGTAACATGAAAGTTGATTTGGTCCAGGGGCTATAGTCTGCTGCCCAGCCTCTGCAGTGGATAGGATTGATGGATGCTGAGATAGAGGCAGAGAGGCTAATTGTAAAAGGTCAGAGGTGAGAGGATGGGAATGGAAGCCAGGATTATGGGAATGGGCCAGAGGGTGGAAGGACTGAGTGTCAGAGGTTATTGACAAACTCTTGTCATTCAGTGACATGTGACAGTAAAAGCAGATTTTTAGGCTTGTGTGCAATTAGAGGTTATTTTAACAGAGAAAACAGGGCAAGGGTAAGCTGAGGTCTGTGCTGCACCTGTTTCTGGTGATGTGCGAAAGGCCAGCAGAGATGGGAAGCTAGGAGCTTGTGTCATCCTCCTGAGTGGGACATTCCTATGATAAGATTTTCTAGGGAAGGGAAGAGGATGAGAATAGAAATTGGATCAGTTTATCCTGAATGTAGATCCTCACGTGGAAGCCAAGTTCTTGATAATAGTTTGCAAGAGAGAAAACATGGGCTTTATTTAACTTTTCTATTTTCAACAGTGAAATAAGATAGTAGTTGAAGAACCTTAGGCTCAGAGAGAGAAGTGAAGAAGTCTGTGGGTTAGAGAGAACCCAGATTGGAATTCAGGCACTACTTCACACAAATCTGATTCTTACCACAATGCGGTCTTGCTGTCACAATGAATGAATGAATGAATGAGAGGGCAGAGTGCTTGAGGAGCCCATGACAGAGCCCATGACAGTTTCTTCACAGAAAACTCCAGGCTTTGGCTTTTGCCCTTGTTTAGCCTGTGGGTGCTCTGGGCAGATCCCAGGACAGCAAACAGTTGATAGGACAGCTGGGTCTAGCTGGCATCTTCTTGTCGGTCACATTTGTTGCTTTTGTCTTAAAGTTGTTACCAAACCCAATGCAAAGCCTGGGGACAGCAGGAAGTCTGCAGTGAGCCTTGACTGCTCAGCCCAAAACAAAGTCAAAGTGGGTCTGTGCCGAAAAATAGCTAGCTTATTTTACAAAAAGAAGTATAATTCCAGCATGCATCACTGAACTTCTTCTAGTTGTTGTGATGTCTAAAACCACTCTCTTAAATTGTGGGGTGGAAGGGGGCTTGAGGAAGGGCCAGGGACTTGAGTCTGCTAAATTCATATGTCCTTATCAGTCTGCGAATGCTGGTTCTTTTTCCTGTTATGCTAGACCATGGGCCCTGCAAATACATTATCATTTTTTAAAAAATTGAATGTAGGCTTCCAGCCAGGCTCAGATTATAGTGCACTGCATGGGCTGCCAGGAGAAGCATGGCGGTTTTGAGCTGACTCTGGGCAGTAGCAGTGCAGCTCTCAAGGTGGCAGCGGTGCTCACCCTTGGGCTTCCAAGGACTCCTAAGTACTTAGAAATGATGGAGTTAGATATGGGAGATGTCACTCAAGTTTATATTGCACTCTTGGTTTTCCTGGACTTCATGGAGAGTCAAGGTTGGCATGAAGTAAATTGAGAGTACCAGAACTACAGCTCATGGGTCTCACTGGTCCAGATAGAGAAGGGGAATGGTTATAGACTATGGTGTTTACTCCCGTCTCAGCTGCTCTCAGCCATGACAGGATTAGGGAAATCCTGCAGGCATCTCAAAAACTGCAGAGGCGATCCAGATCAGATGTCCTTTATCTTGGCCACAGTGGAGTCTGATTCTGTTATAAACATACTGATGTGTTTATACTGCCAGACCCTCAGATCGTAGATGCCTTGTATTCACAAAAGATTGGATCTGTATTGTCAAATAGAGGTTGCTGTGGGGATTTCTTACTGCATTTGTATGCACATTATGGCATGTGCAGAGAGTTGAGGCCGTAATATGTTACCACTCTCCTAGCTGTCACTTTGAGCTCATGGTTGAAGCCACTTCCTCACTTCTTTCCCTTCCTCAGTCCTTTTGTGCCTTCTGGTCATTCCAGCCAGCTTGGCATGGCAATTCACATGGCCTTAGACAGCTGAAGGGTCGACTGCTCTGATTTCATTCCCTGTAGAAAGGATTTTGAAGGAGTCTTCCAGTTTGGTTCTTTTCCTGTTGCATTTTCCTCTTTGATTAACCTCAAATCAGAACTGAAAATAGGCTCCTCCAGACTGAAAATTTACACATGTGTACTAGTTAGGACCTCTGGTTACTATCTACCGGAATAGTAGGCCTTCCATTACACCATCCTTATATCATAGTTACAATACTGTATGAGACAAGAGTATAAGAGAGTGTCAGCCCTAAAAATGTCTTTATTGGCCCGGGAATGTGGCTCAGTGGTAAGAGTGCTTGCCTGGCAGGCATGAAGCCCTGGGTTCGATTCCTCAGTACCACGTACAGAAAAAGCCAGAGGTGGCGCTGTGGCTCAAGTGGTAGAGTGCTAGCCTTGAGCACAAAAGTCCAGGGACGGTGACCAGGCCCTGAGTTCAAGTCCCAGGACCAGAACAAAAACAAAACAAAAACCAGATCCAGGAGGTCTAAAAATGTCTTTATTACCTAGATTCAATGGTTCCATTTTTCTTAATCCCCCAATTAACAAAAAAATATAATCTACCTCAATGTAAAAACAAAACATACCTATTGCTGCCTTCAGGAAATTGTACACTTCGAGTGGCAGCCCTGTAAGATCGGTGCTGAGGTCTCTACCCTGGATCCTGGAAAACTGCTTGCCTCTGTACTAAGATGGTTTCAGTGCAAGCTCCCACTTACAAGAGCCCTGTGAACTCATGTGTCCTTCCCCTGGCTTCCTTCCACAGAAAGAATACTTCAAGCAGTACGAAGCGGGACTCCAGAATCTGTGCAATTCCTATCAAAGCCGTGCTGACTCCCGAGCCAAGGCCTCTGAGGAGAATTTGCGTACCTCTGAGAGGAAGCTCCGTGAGACAGAGGAGAAACTGCAGAAGTTGAGGACCAACATTGTGGCTTTGCTGCAGAAGGTCCAGGAGGTGAGCCAGGCAGCCCTTCCATTGCAGCTAGACCATATGGTCTCTCAGGCAGGGGACCTGGCACCTACCACCACCATCTCACAGGACTCTGTCTACCCATAAGAATCTCTGCTTCCAACCCTGGCTGCACAGCATCCTGACCAGAGGGTTTGAGGTGGGCCTTCCCCACCAGAGCCACCGAACCCGTCTCTGTCCCTTGTTTGGACACTCCCATGTACAGCCTGATTTGAGCACCTTCCAAGCCATAAAGTTCTTGCTTTTCCAGATGATGTCCCGGGTAGAATTGCGAGTCCGGAAGTGGGAAGGGCCCTTTAGGGTACTCTAGGCAGTGAACATGGGGTGTCTATTCTGTGCCTGTTCTGGGGCCCTGGGAAAGGAAGACAAGGCACTGAACACGGGGTGTCTATTCTGTGCCTGTTCTGGGGCCCTGGGAGAGGTAGACAGGGCAGATGAAGTCCCAGCTCTCATCATCTCGTCGTGTAGTGGGGGAGTCAGTTAGTAATGGTGGTGGTGGACCAAATGCCAGGGCTGGCTGCTTGACCAGGGTTGTTTGGGTGGCATCTGAGGAGATACTTGAGCTGAGACTGGAAGCTGACCGTCACAAGAGTGGGACCTGCGTACTCTAGGCAGAGGAAAATCAGCAGGATTTGGCCTGAGTGGGGAGTAGTGGGCAGGAGGACAGGCTGGTATTAAAGTGGGATTTGATCCTGAGAACAGCAGGTCACTAGTAGCATGTGAGGTGGTCTACTTTTAAGACACTCAAATTGGAGGCATGCAGTTTAGAACCAGGGAATCTGGTAATAAACTTCCCACATTGTGAGGGCTAGAAATAGTAGTGACCTATACATTGGATAGTAACAGAAGGAAGACATCTAGTATCTGAGGGAAATAAATGGGAGGTTGGTGGTAGAGGTAGGTAAGGCAAGAGAATGAAGCCTGGATAGGGATTATGCCAACACCTCATCTGTAATCCTACTCAGGAGGCTGACGTCTGAGGGTCCTAGTTCAAAGTCAGCAGGAAAGTCTTATGAAACTCAATTGACCAGCAAAAAGCTAGAAGTGGCTTAAGTGGTAGGTAGAGCATTAGCCTTGAACTAAAATGTTCAGGAACAGTGCCCACGCCCTGAGTTCAAGCCCTAGAATTGTCCCCTTCCGCTCCCCATCCCCCAAGAAAAAGACAGGAAGACCAGGCATGGTGGTTCTTGTCTGAAATCCCAGTGTAAAATGAGAGGATTATGGATGTGGTGGTATATACCTCCTATCCCAGTCAGAATAGGCTGGAGGCCATCGCCAAGCAAAAACGCAAAACCCATTCTGACAAATGAGTAATGTACTGAAGGGCCTGGGAGTAAAACTCAAGTTAGCCCCAAGTTCAAACCCTGATATCCAAAAAAAAAAAAAAAAGGTTCGACAGCTAAAGTGAAGAGAATGAGAGGGAACCCTGGCCTCCGCTCCAGGAACCACTCACTTTGCAGCCCCAGCTAACCCCTCCACCATGCTCTGTTCCAGGACATAGACATCAACACAGATGATGAGCTGGATGCCTACATCGAAGACCTCATCACCAAGGGGGACTGAGAGGCCGGGAGCCAGAGATCCACTTCCCACTCCCTGCCCTTCAATACAGCAGCTTCCTGGGAAGGAGGGTGCCTTCATGAGCTGCTGGACTGATACTTGTTTTGACTCATAGGACATGTGTGCTTTTGGAGGAAAAGACTCTTGAATCTTCCTCCCTGTTTATAAATATTTATTTTTTAAAGAGACGATGCTGCGCCTGCTGTGAGACCATACATTTTGTGCCTGACTCTCAGGTACAGGATGGAAAACCTTCCCATTTTTGCCACACTGGGTGACTGAGCCTGAGCCACTTCAGCTTCTGGCTCCTCACAGTAGTGGTGAGGGTAGTGCCAGGGATGGCAGAGGTTTCTCTCCTAGGGGATAGAAAGTGGAATCCGGGGGCCGCAGGTGGGCAAGAGTCCTCCAGAGCTGTGTGATCCCAGGAAGCCCCTTTTTCGGGGACCCAACAAGGCTGTGGTCAGAGCAGGCTCAGCATCTGAAGGGATTCTCCCTCATAGCTCCTCTGTCTTTTGTCTGGGGTCCTCAAGTCTGCAATTAACCCACGTGGTTGTGGCATTGTCATTTGGGGAAGAAAGCTCTGTTCAGCCTCCCTGTGTACCACCTAAGTTTTCTCTGGGGGAGCAGTTCCTCAGCCACGGACCACCAGGTTTCCAGTCTTGGTAGTTCACATCAAGGTTGAGGAGCAGATACTCTGATGGGTCAGCCCTCTGGCCTGAGTAGCACTCCAGGTGTTGAGTCCAAAGGATTGATTCCTCAGGGAAGGTGCAGGAGTGTGAAGGCGGTCTCTCAAGGAAGAGGCCTCCGTCCATGGCTGCCTCAGTGGTACTGGTTCCTGCTGCTTTTCTACTATCTCTTGTGCCCCATGGAACACAAAAAGGAAGGGACCAGGGAACCTCTCGCTTCAGGGACTTCAGCAAGCACACTTGGCCTTCCCTCCCTGCTGGGTCACAGCCCCAGAAGCCGTGTCCTTTAGACAACTTCTCAGGGTCAAAAAATGCTGCTGAGTTTTCTCTAATGAACATTGGAAGAACTGGTTCCATTCCCCACAACTCTTTTTTTCCTACTCCTTATCCGGGGCCTCAAGGCGTTAAGAACTTTGGCCTGTACCACTGACCTGTGATTCATACTCTCTTGGATGTTTCCACAATTTACCTACCCCAAGTCAGCAGTGGCATCCTGCTGCCCAGTGCGGTCTCCAGAAGTCAGGGAAGCCATGCACGGGACCCTGGCCGCAATGGAATCCCATGGCCTTTCCCACTTGTGCGGGAAGCACTTGTGACAGGTAGGTCCTGTGTTTCCTCAGACCAGGTCCCTGGGAGAAGGCTGGGGCATCACTGCTCAGAAGTGATCCTCTTCCTCTGGAACATTTTAAGCATCTGGGGTTTCTTGAACTGGCAATTCCCACTTACCCAGCTGTCAGATGACCCTTAGGCAGTTAGTTTGTGGGCTACTTTTGTCCCCAAACCTGTTTGCATCTGAAAGGAAGTTGATCCTACATTTTTATTGGAGGGTTGAATTAAAATATTCAAGTTTTTTACTTACATGTCATCAAAATGCAATACTATAAACTCTTCATGAGACTCCCAAATTGTGCTCTGTGAAATCCAGTATCACCTTCTTCTATTTTCTTGTACCTTGTGACTCTAATGGTGTTCAAGATCTTTCCCATCTCCACTCATTTCAGTTGCATTCTCCCAAAACACCCACAGAAAGGGAAAGACTGAACTTGCCAAATGTTTTAGCTTCACTCTAGAGGTGTGTGATCCAACTTCTGCAGATGTTTTACCAGGCAGAGCTGCTGGTGTTCTGGATAGGAAGACAAAATGCAGTGCCTGTGTCCCTGTGGGCCAGTCAGCATGGAGGGGGTCTAATGATGTAGGAGGGGTGACAGAAGGTCCTCAGGCCTGGCTTGTAAGTAGAACATGTGCATGGTAAAAATCCAACACTACAAGGCTGGGCTGTGGAAAGCAAGTCTCTGGTGCGCGTGTACGCGCATGCACACACCACACACACACACACATACACCCTTCTGTTTCCACCTGTTTTACCAAGTGTATCTTAAAGCCTGTTTCAAAGTGATTTATTATATGGGTTATCTTTATTCTGAACCACCCCACAGGGAATTTCATTGTCTTTAGTAAACTGTCATTTAACAGTTTTCCGGAGTTATAAACATTTGGGTTTTGAACAGTTTTGAAACATGCTGTGATTGTGTTTTCATTAACATATCTAATAGAGGGTAGATTTCAAAAAAGGGAGGCTGTCAGACAGTGGGTGCATTAACAATTCAAAGATACATTCCTGAACTGCCTTCCAGCTTCTACAAACAGCATGCCCCCCTCCTCACTTGCCAGTATTGTAATTACATCCCTTTCAGCTATTTACTAATGTGAAAAGTGATAGATTTCTGAGTCAGTTGGAATTAACTGATGAGATTGACTTAATTAGCCGGTTGTGTTTCTTTTCTGGGACTGGGCTATGTGTGTTTCTGAATCTTGGGTTAGGTTGCCTTTTCTAAGTCAGATGGTAAAACAAGGGGTAATTTATCCCACAGCAAAGTATCCCTTAGCCCCTAATTATCCCAGGGATTTATTATAACAATTCCACCTTGGAGTAAGTGATGTTTTTTGCCAGTTCACAGAACAAGGGCATGGCATTTTTATTTACTAAAGGAAGGCAAGGGTCAATGACAGGCTGATTAAACCTTTTTGGTTCCCTCTTTTGAAAAATACTGCCTTTTGGTTTAGAGGCTTTTCTCTTGTTGGGTCCAGTTTCCTTTCCTGAATCTGGGTTCAAATAAGGTTGGCCAGAAGTGCACAGTTAAACAGATCAAAAAGGCAAGCCCGATAGAACTCCAAACCTGCTACTTACATATAGTTAAGGGCTGACTTGAGTGGTCTCAGCCTCCAGTGGCTACTTGTCCCCGTTGGAAGGTCATTCTGCAACTGAGCCAGGTTTTAAGGGAATCATTGATAGTTGCCAAGGTGCCAGGAACTTTCTGAGAATTCCACTGCAGTGTTCTTTCCATTGTTGGAGATAGAACTGGGGCTCCTTGTGAAATGGCCATGTTGTGCTTGGTTCTCAGAGTTGCTGCACAGCCAGCCTTGGCCCCAGAGGCAGAACCAGTTTTGTGCTAGTCCTGGGGCTTGAACTCAGAGCCTGGGTGCTAGCCCAGAGCTGCTTTTGCTCAGAGCTAGCACTCTACCCCTTTAAGTACAGCTCCACTTCAGACGTGATTAATTGGAGTTAAGTGTGTCTTTCCTGCCCAGGTTGGCTTCGAATCGCCGTCCTCGGATCTCAGCCTCCTGAGTAGGACTACAGGCATAAGCCACGGTGCCGGGCTAGTCTTGCCATTTTTATTCAGTAAATTGCCATGTGCCAGGCCAAACTAGGGCCACTAAAGGTGGTTCTGGCAGAAGCTTCCTCTTTCCAGGTTACAAAGCCTCAGACAAGTCACGACTTTGCTCGTCTCAAATAAAGGGGTTGGGGTGACAGGGAAGGTTTTCCTGGAGCTGCACACGGAGTCGGGGAGGGGCACCGGCGCCTCTCGGTGCCTCGGCCTCCGTGCTGTGCGTGATCCCCGATCCCCCGCTTCGGGTGCTCTCCCGGGGCTGCAGCGCGGCTTCGGTGTCTGCGTCCTCCCCAGGCCAGGGCGCTGCGCTGGCGTCGGGGCCGCCGCCCCCGAGGCCCGGTCGGGGTCGTCCTTACCTGGTGTGAGAGCCGGGATCCCCCTTCTCCGAGGCCCCCTGCCCTACCGCTGCAGCTTCCCGCCCGGCTCCACCGGCGACTTACCGAGCCTCTCCCGGGCCCCGCACGCCGGCCGGGCCCCGCCGGTGCCCAGGCTCCCTGGGCGGGCGAGGGAGCGGACCGCGGCGCGGCAGAGGGGCCGAGTTTCCTAAGCTCACCGTCGCCAGAGCGCAGAGACCTAAGGGGCGGCCGGGGCGCAGCAGCCCTGCGGGGCGCAGCCCTGCTGCTCAACGGCTCTGCCCCGGGCGCCCCAGGCGCGCGGCCCAACGGAACCCGCGCGGCGTCACCAAGGCCGCTCGCCCGCCCGCATCCTGTGTTACGCGTGTGCGGCCGCGTTCTGCGCGTGCGCCATGCGTGCACGGCAGCATCAAGGGGTGCCCTTCCCTTAAGCAGCAAAGTGAAACTTCCTTCTTGTTTTTACCTCTGAGGACGTCACTGCGGGGAACTTTTTGTATAGGCCTCGGTGCCCTTCTGACCAAGTGCCCTTATTTCTCCAGGTGGTGGACTTGGAAAGAAAGATTCCCAGCCCAAAATTTTAATATTTTTTAGATTTAAAATTTTTTATATTATTAAAACTCCCCAGAGAATATGAAATGCTTTTTCATTTGCTTAAGACTTCTTTTGCGGGCTGGAAAGGTGGCTCAGTGGTAGAGCGCTAGCCTTGAGCTGAAGAGCTGAGGGACAGCGCCCAGGCCCAGAGTTCAGGCCCCATGACTGGACCCCCACCTCCCAAAAAAGACTTCTTTTGTATTCTCCAGTGGTATTTTGCTATTTCTTCATAAAGGTCCCATAGTTTTCTGGCCCAATAAACATTTGTAATTTCTTTATACAGCTTTTTAACTTTCTGATTAAATTCATATACAAATGTTTTATGATTTTGTCACTAGTGGAGTGGAATAATTTTCCCTGTCACTACTCTTTTAAAAAGTTTTCAAAATAGAGACAATTTGTAAATTTGCCAGTATACAAGCTTAATTACAAATTTGTCTTTGAGATAATCTCTGAAAAAATGTAAATAATTACCTAGGTGTTGTTCCTAATGTAAAGGGAAATCCGTGTGTGAGGATATTGATCTGGTTTGAGTAAAATGGACTTTGAAGTGTTAAAGTTTTCTTTTGTCTTCTGGGACACATAGCAACTTGTCCTTACTGAGTTAGGCACTAGGGGGCAGCAGGCACAAAATAAAATGAGGGTTGTGTTCCTTAGAGACGGATTAAATTTTCTCATATGCTTTTCCACTATTAAACACACACACAAACCTACACACAGCCTATCATAAGAGTTCACTTCCTCAATCCCAGCAAGGAGGAGGCTGAGGCAAGGTGGATCAGGAGTTTGGAGCTGCCCTGAGCCAAAACAACAAAAATCCCCCCTCAAATTATATAGAGCGTTTTCCTTTAGGCTGTTGCTATAATAAATTACTTTCGCTAGACAGTAGTGGCAAAGTTTTCCTTATTAAGTATTCTAAAGTAGGGATAACATACAGTCTCTTGGGCACCATTCCTCTCTACTCAGAAGAAACTATCATCCTGAATCTTTTCTGTGATTTGTTACACTTTAAAGACTTAGATTTGCGTTCATA